GTTTGATAATGTCATCTCGTAGGAAAATGGACAATAAAGGTAATATAATGTCACTAACAATTCCTTTGGATGGTTAGAGTTGTTACTAAGATGTTCTAGCAGGCGCAATTGGCCTAGAATTATAGTTGAAATATATTTTTATGTCCAAATTAAGAGATAAGGTAAACGTATAATGGTTTTCGACTTGTTTTTCTCATTCATACTCGCTTTAATTGATAATGAGCCATACATAAGACATACTTGGGTCGGTAAATGGATGTGCATATGCATAATATATTAAGTGTCAAAATATTAGGTCAAAATAGCACTTTTGAACAGCAAAATCTTCACTTAAACTTTGTCCTAAAAGATCCGAGGTTATCGGACATCGGACCCGATGTGATCGACGAGTAATATTATAAAGATCCGAAAATATCTTGAGTAAAGGATCTCAGAATCTGAACATTACTTGAGTAAAATCTGTTGAGATCCGATTATATCGTCGGGTTTATGACGTGCTGATGAAAAAATAATAAACATACAATCTGCATCATTCATGTGAATCATTTTGTTGTGAACAATATAATGAAATTGAAAAAAATATGGCTATCACCAGTTACCACTGCACATCGAAACATTGTATTTCAGGTCCTCGGTACAAATGCTTCCACTGTAGTTATAAATCACACGAGATGGATGACTTTGTGGTTCACTTCAGTCAGCACCATCCATTACTGAGTATTAAAGTTAATGTGCCTGAGTTAAATGGCAAAAAATGGATTTACAATGTTTTTGACTATGGTATTGTATTATCAAAGAAAGATCACGGTAATTTTCGTTTCGAGGATATGAAGCTTGTGAAGCTTGGGATTCTTCAAGTTGTGTTCTTTGAGTAGAATGTCGCTTGCAATGCAGAATTAAATGTTTTTGGGTTGCACTCTTACCATAGACACATAGGAAATTATGGTGATTCAAGTGTAAGCATGAATTCAATGTTTTAAAGAACTTTGCCGGAAACAAACGTTGACGTATAGTGCTGCGGGAATTATATCATATTATATTATATCCCGGTGCCAGGAGTATATGATAAATAAAAAGGAATATTTGTGATATCGTCATGATATTATAGCTCATTCGAAAGCTTACTCACTACCTCATCGGGTTCTTCTCACGGTATAGTCGGAATAGCTCGGTGGTAGCTTCGGGTCCTATATAATCGTACTCGTGACATAATCGGGTCTTTCATTTTCAACTTTCACCGGTGATTTCAATGATATGCAACGTATGGCAGTGAAATAAATATGATACATTTACACCTATTGTATCTTTGAATCGAATGAAGTAAAGACAGCAATGGTTGTTACTTATTCAAGATGTAAATCATCATTCAAATATTTAAAAGTTGAATTTAGCGATTGGATAGTAAACATTGCCCTAAGTACTCATTATTTTGCAAACATGAGTGCCTGGAACAATAACTTTATCAGTTACACACAATTCTGTGTTTTATCTGTTTCTCATATTGAGAAATTCAAGATATAAACAAAAGATAATAACTCACCCCCTACATTTTCAGACATCTTCGGGTCTTTGCTCGGCGGTAGGTTGTATATACACGGGTACTCTTTCCCCTCGTGAGTATAGCTCAGTTGGTTAGAGCGCTGTCAGCTGTCTTGCCGGTTTGGGCTCGACCCTTCAAATTGGTACTTTTTTCTTTAACACTGCATATGGATCGCAAAGATATATATGAATTATTTGACCGGAACTGACACTTAGAACGAGTTGGCCGGGTGGTATCGTAGTAGGTCCATAAACCGGGGGGTCAGTGGATCGAAACTAAGGAGGGACGGGCGCGATTATGTGTGGAAAGGTCTATAGTACCTTGTGGTTTGAGTCTTTTCCGGGGCCTAGCGAGTCACGGATGTGAACTGCCCGCTCTTGGCAGGGATCAGAGATTAGGAACTCGACTCATTCCTCCCTTACTCATGCATATGATCTGTTCCGGAGCTTAGTACCATAGAGGGAGTCGGAACTCTTGTGTGGAAGCAATACTCCTCAGGCTACGTCATTGCGACAAACGTCGAGTGTGAGATTGCTTACCACCCTCAATGACTGGGAAAACCTTTTGTTATTTTTTTAGGTTAAAAAACCGTTTTGTTATATTTACACTTAGTCAAGTTAAGATTCGAATCTATACTGTGTACTGTTTTACCGTTGTAGGCAGAATTCCCACAACATTTTCTTCACATCGTGGTATAAGAAAATCTATGAGATAAAGATAAGGCCATAAGGCCAGTAGATCCTTTGTTTTGCGTCCTGGCAAAATCCAAATTATGCAAGGGATGCATACCAATTTGTAGTGATTGCAAACACATATCTATACACCTCATACAATATATCTAAACATAGCTATTATTCAAGGGTAAAAACAAGAAAATACACAATTTGCATACATTGGCATGCCAAAGTAATCAATAACACTGTCATTTGATGCACATCAAACTACCCTCCATTTCGTCTCGTTCTGATTGAACGAAATGCGATGGTACTAGCTTTCAGACCCTTGTGATTGCTATTTGGATGTGTTTGTTTTGTTCTGATTTATTCAAATCCGTGCAAGCAAGGCCTGGGACGCAAAACAAAAATCTACTTCTTATAATATATGACCTAATATTATTTTGCTTGGATGAGATAGAAGATTGAAGACAGAGTGCCATGAAGACAGAAATGTTTTGAGGACATCCACACATCTATTTGAATGGCAGCTTTTAAAGATCTATGTTTATTATGCCTTACAAAAGTCGATTTACAAAGGAAAGCCAGAGTTAAATACTTAAGCACAATCACAACTAATTGTAGTTTTTGCTTTTGATTTATTCCGGTTCCTCAAAGGCCCGGCTGAAGTGATCACCGACAAAATACTTCAAAAGTTGTGGAACGGAAAGTTTGCTTGGAGGGAGATCACACGGGGAAGATTGAAAGGTGGATTGGATCGACTGTAGAATGGATTTGTGTAGAACGTGGATTAGATTGAGGACTTGGATCAGAAAATATGGAATATCTTTAAGATTTTTTCTATTGATCTCTAGTTCTAAAATGATTGGTGCTCTCCCCACGAGATGTGTATTTTCATTGTACGGGATATCAGGCAATAAAACAATTAACATTACAAATCTAAAATTCCAGCCGACTAGGCTACCTGTAGCTACTGTATATTCACACGTCAACTAATTTCCGCTTTTAGCACTTTTATGTGCCATTCAGAATTCTGAGTGATATCCCCTCTCTGCAAACAGGAAGGGTAAGGAATTTGATACGCAATATTGCCCCCCAGAGGTAGGAATTGAACGGAGAATTTCGTCCCGGGAGGGAATTTGATTTGCATGTACCCGGGAATCGGAATTTTTGACTGAATTTGTTTCGTCCAGTGTATACAATCAGTGTCTCCACCAAGAGTTGTATCCAGCTTTTAATCTTCACCTCTATTTATATTAACACATTACTCGTTTAGATACAACTCACGGTGTATAACCCAAACGTTCCTACATGCACGACGGAGCGTTTCATTACTGAAATTAAACAAAGAAACGCTCCGGACTAGGAAAACTGGCTGGCGGGAATGATGAGCCGTCTGACGATTTCCCCAATAATGGGAACAAGAGGTATGAGTTACATATTTCGAGTATACCATTCGATGGGTGTGATATTCATGTTGTACTTGGCTGGCTGTTGACGTTTGAAGCAATTAGGAAGAGCTGTACGAAGCAGTATAGAACGAAATCCAAAAACGTATTTGTCATTCTACCGGTCAAAACCCATTTTGTCGATACATGTGATTAATTGAGCCAAGATTAGAGCACCAACGTATATTTTAGTCAAATTCCAATGCTTCAATGCACCATACATTATCGTAACAGTGATTTGATGACCGAAAATCCAGTCTTAAAAATGATGACATTCTCATATTCAAGAAACGCTCCTATCTGGTTAACACAGTGAACTGGAAACGCTCCGGTAGTCTAGATCTGTTTAGGAAATATATAGCTTGCCTTTCCTTTTCAGGAAGAGAAAGAAATTAAGATCTATTATACCCCTTGGCATCAAAAGAAGAAAGATTAATTCACATATTAATTTTCGTTTTTTTCTATAGTATTATGATCTAGCACACATGTAGGCATGACATCATCTAATGTAGGCTTGAATCAGCTAGTTGCACGTTTAGCACCACCAGGTTCAGATGTTTCAATTTGCCTAACAAGTACAACACGTTTTTGAGAGATAGATTCGATTCGGAACTCTTCCCTAATAATCTGAAAATGATATCAAAACAAAATGGTAAGAGCGTTTCTAAAATTGTGTTCTAAATCGACGGAGCGTTTCGAGGAAAACAAGCGATTTCTTGAGAACAAGTAATGGATTTGGACTGGGATTTTAAGAAATGAGAATATACGAGTTTGTGATCTACTACTTTAACAGAAATATTAACGTTTTCATAGAAATACTAGTTTAAATCGTAATTTGTGGTCAAATCGTCATCTTCAGATTCGTTCGATCTACACTACGGAGCTTTGATCAAGCAAATAACAGTTTACCACCAAAAGTTGGATAAATAAGATCTTTGCTCACGGTATTGTTCATCGAATGGTACATAATATTTCACCATAACATATGATATGTTAGAGAAACGAGAGAAACAATACTTACGGTCATAGTGGAATCTTCATTAGCCGCCATTTTATTTCGCTTCGGAGCGTTTCCGCGTAGAAACGCTCCGTCGTGCATGTAGGAGCGTTTGGGTTATACACCGTGCAACTACACATAACAACAACAACCGTGTATTGTTATGATGAATGAATGTATAGTCATGGACGTTAAACCCACCCTGTAGTTCAGTCTCCGAGCCTTTCGTCCAGTGCCATCCGTACCTCCTGGTACGCAACGAACGAAATGAATTTTGAGATGCCTGTAGTTGTAACAGATTGAGTTATTTCGTGATAACATTGACGGCGTCATTCATTCCCTCCAAGATGGCTCCGCTGGACGTACAAAATAATTTACAGACACTAAAACGTCAACAGCTTAGAGCCAGGAGGCGATGGAGGATGTTGTATGATGTAAGTGCTTAGCTAACGATCTTTTTATGATGTTGAAATATAATACTTGTTCATCTTCGATTTAGTAAACTAGAAAAATGGAATTTCCAGCCATTGAAATTTTGGAATAAAATAAGATTTTTGCATAGCGACAGTCACAGTGGGATGCTGACTAAGGAGGATTTGATACACTCATATGCCATCTAACTATTAAATCAAAACTACCAATTGGATATTATTCACTAATACTTTCAATGGGGGTAGTCAATGGGGATTTAGCCTAACCTTTTTTTAGACAACTAGAAAATCATTAGAATTTGAATAACTAGTGCAAATTAGCCTAAAGTTTTTTTGATACAAAATTCATCAAATATGTCATAAAATGGAAGAAAACGTTAGTTAAAAATGCAGATCTCCTAAAATTTCATTAAAAACGGGACTTTACCAAGATTTCAAAGCTATTGGAAAAAGGACCATTGCAGATATATACAGTCTGTTTCACTGCTTCAATAAGAGAAGCAGTTAAACCAGAAAGGACGATTCTCGGTTTGGAGAACAGTCTCCTGGGTTAATAATTTTTTTAATGAAAAATATAGAAATATTACCCAAATTAAACTATGAATATTCAAAAGAGGACATTTAAATCTACAAGATGTAAAATTAACAAATTGGTCTGAAGCAGGGATAACGTTCAATTTGACCGATTCAATAAAATACAAGTCTCGATTTAGAGAAAGAAGTTCATCAGTGTACTGCGCTAATATTTTTTTGCGAAAAATCTAGAAATATTACCCAAATTAAATTATGACAATTCAAAAGAGGACATTCAAATCTATATTATGTAAACATATCAAATTTGTCCGAAGCAGGGATAATGCTCATTTAGATTGATGAACTTCGTTCTCCAAACCGAGAATCGTCCTTTAAGAAATCTAAATAATTTTGTGCAATTTATAGAAAAATATATTTATATTGCACACGAATGACATTTGTATATGTTGGGTTGCTTGTAAATTAGTTCATAAAGTCTGTAGTCATATAAATCCGACCGTTGTATGCTGTTCTTCGATATTCCTAGTTCTTATTTGGATATTTTTTTTATCATTTTCTTTGCATACACGGTCGTAGATATTATATGGAACAAATTGCGGTAAATGCTTTCCTGGCCTGTCTGGGTAACCATAGTTAACATACTAACCAAAGTCACACAAATTATCGAGTAATTATTGAGCTCAAACATCAAAGTGTTAAATCTTACCTTAGACATGTAAAACGCTTGATAATTGACAAAATATAATCAATTGAATTATATTTTCATTATCGCCCGCCATGTTCCTAATGTTGTTTCGGTAGTCTAAATGTAAAACATGTATCGAAACGGAATCATAATTATTTATTACGCAGAGATCGATTCCAAAGCAGTTCTCTCATACTTATCACTTTTCTCATTTTGAAACAATAACTTTTCTAAATAACTTCCCTTCTTAACGACACTGCTTCCCTTTCAACTGAATCTTCGTGTAACAAATAGTTATGATTTCGTTTGATATAGTTTTACATCTAGACTCAGATTAACCCGGAAGTGACCTTTCCCGCAATATAGATGAGGGAAGTGTGTATGACGCTCGTATGCAAGAAAATAAGAAAAAATAAATATCCAAATCAGAAAAAATAACAACAGATAACATCATACGAGGGTCAGATTTATATGACTAAAAGTCTGTAACCTCTTATATTTTGATGCTTCTCTACCATGTTAATTCTCAAAAAAATAACATGGCGGACAGACCTCAAATTACAAGAGGGGACAGGCTTATTGCACTAAACACTAAATAATCTGAAATATACATATGTCATTCGTGTGCAATATGAATATATTTTTCTATATATTATGGCACAATGGTCTCTAGATTTCTTATTTTTCAGGTTCAACTGCTTGCCTTTGAAGCAGTGTAACAGACTGTACACTTTTATCTTTAAATCAGCAAGTATTTTTTTATTTATATCAAGAAGCAAAAATAGCCAAAATTTATCCTCTAAGCCAAGCCTATCTTGTGGGGAACACATTTTTATGTAAAGCAATCTAATTTCAACGATGAAACTTATCTGAATCAATGCTGTCCATGGCTCAGTACTTGGTAACTTTTGGAAAACTTTTGTCATGATGCCAAAGAACCCTAGCAATGCCATTTTAGGCTCACACAGTGAGCCTATGGGATAAACCAGGCGTCCGTCCGTCCGTTGGTCCGTCCGTCCGTCAACATTGGCCGCACAAATTAAAACTTATTCGGATTGAGTCATATCCACATTCATTCTATGCATATCTATAATGCCTATTTGACCCATCATCGCCATTTCCAAAGTTCGCCCAGTTTCCGAGAAATTGCAGATTTTGATGTCAAAAAGTCAAATTTTCTGTAAATACTAGACACTTTGTTGAAGTAGAACTTTCAAATAACTTCCAGTAGTTGCTGTATATGCAACTTATGTCCTCTGAAGATTTCAAAGCTCTTGGAATTACAGTTTTTGGTTTTTACTCTATAGATTTGACAAGTCATTTTCAGGAAACTTTCTCATGTAAAAAGTCAATGGTTTTGTGATTGACAAGTTTCTCAAAGTTTGCCTTATACTTGATCATTTCTTGCAATGAATTACATCATTACTAGATTTAAGCATTCCTTACATATTGCTCAATGTATGTCAGCATCAAATTTTTACCTTTTTTGAGATATTTGACGTCAAAAAACAGTAAAGATAAGTTATTTTTCAACTTGCTTCAATTTGACCAATTCCCTACAAGTTGTCAGGAGTTCAAATCTGACATTAGTTTTAGAATTTGACCTTTACTTGACCTTCAGTGACCTTCGAAAGGTCAAAATAGTTGATTTTTCGAATTTATTTTTGGATGTAAATTTTGGTCAGCTTAATCACAAAAGACCTTACTGAACTCTGAATTAGTAAGATTTTCAAGGTCAAAGGTCATCAAACTAGGTCACACAACTGTGCTATCTAAGTTTCTCAAAGTTCGAGACTACAAATCCAAATCAATATTTTTGTTTGAAAGACAGTATACATTCCTCTGAAGGTTCTAAACTGTGTGAGCACAGGACCGTGGGTCCTTCATTTTTCTGGTTTTGTAAATGAAACACATGGCGCTTGGAAAATAATACAACAGCAAAACAGTTATCTGTACTAAAACCTCTATTGAATTTAAAATGTATTCCAGGTTATACGTGGAAAGAGATGCAGTATAAATGAGGTTTCAGTCAGACGTTTCACAACTTTCGGTTTACTCCACACAGCAAAAATACGCTCATACAACAATGCAGATGTAGATTCTACTATTTCAACTAAAACAAACACAGTCACATCAATTTTAAAAGATATTAATTCAAATGGGTTAAAATCTGAAATCATAAAGCCTGACACCAATGGTAAAGAACCTGACGCTGACACCAATGGTAAAGAATCTGATGCTGACACCAATGGTAAAGAATCTGATGCTGACACCAATGGTAAAGAATCTGAAGCTGACACCAATGGTAAAGAATCTGATGCTGACACCAATGGTAAAGAATCTGATACTGACACCAATGGTAAAGAATCTGATGTCAGTAGTGGTAATACAGCAGAATCTAAAACAGAAGACTTTTGCTGGTTTCGTTACACTGCATCTGTGGCTGGAGGGCAGTCCCAGTTTGATATTAGGTATGTGTATGGTCAAGACTATTTCCTGCATTGAATAAGCATTCTCTGATTTTGTTTAACCTGAAATTAATTTAAACTAACCAATTTGAAAAGTTAAAAAAGAATTCTAAGGAAAGGTCAAGCTCAAAGATGTGAATCTTTAAAAATATGCAATTTAAGCACCAATGCAATGAATTAGTTTGAAAAATAATTCAGGGGACAAGAATGAATAAAATTTATTTTTGTTGTTTCAGGCAGTTGACCAAGGCTCCTGATATTGAGGATATACTGGGCTTTAACAACACTGGAAATGTCTGTGAGTAGTTCTTTGGATGCATGATTATTTAAGCTGAAATCCCCTATTATTATACAATATGCATTATTAAATGGAATCAAAACAGAATCAATGAGTATGAACAATGCAATGCCAGTATGCATCATCTTCTCAAAGTGCTTTACAGTACTGTTTTAGATAGGCAGCGTACAAAATCTCTGAACAAAGTTTTTGGATTGAACCTTTTCTATTTAAGAAATTAGACATGTTAGGTGTGATTTGAGCCATTGAAAATATGTTGGCTTCTGTCAAGAAGAATATAAAAACAGAAGCTGAAAGACAAAGTACTTTTTATCAAAATATATATCTTGATTATGGTTAAAGGGTAAGAGTGTAAGAATATTATTAAACATGTTCATTTATTTCAGGTGTCTGGCCATCTGAAGAGGTTCTTACATATTATCTACTTAAACACAAGGAGAAATTCAGGTAAATAATCTTATTTTATTCAATTGTATTACAGTACAAGCTAATTTTTCGTTTATTGATTTATTCTGTAAAAGTACAGTAAAACCTGTCTTAGTAAACAGCTCTCTCTTAGTGAACAGCTCTCTCTAGTGAACACCTCTCTCTAGTGAACACCTGTCTCTAGTGAACACCTCTCTCTAGTGAACACCTGTCTCTAGTAGACACCCTTCCTCAGCGCATACTCTACTGACTTCTGTATAAACATAAACAGCTTTTACTGTATAATGTAAAATTACAGGGAAATATTTTGGATTATGCATGACATCACTTAAATTGTAACATACTGCAGTATTCATGTTTAAACATTCTCTTGCTTTTCAAAAACACTTATACGTACACGACTAGTCTAGCTTCAAGCCCATGTGAAGCCCCCCTCATTACACACCATGTGAAGCCCCCCTCATTACACACCATGTGAAGCCCCCCTCATTACACACCATGTGAAGCCCTCATTACACCATGTGAAGCCCCCTCATTACACACCATGTGAAGCCCCCTCATTACACACACAAGCTTGTTGAATATCAATTTCCAAAAAATCTAATGATAGCTACAGTATGGCATCTAAGTAAATTGACTACTCAGAACATAGACATTGTAGCATCTCGGCATGCTTAATAGTTCACTGTTGACATCCTCCTAAGTAGGTGTCCAGAATCCATACCTCCTTCTTCCCCCCTGCTATAACCAATTTGGAAGCGCCCGATTAAACTGAATCATGTGATCTTATTATGCGCAATGACTTATACATTATTTCTGATCAGATTGCGAGTTCTTAATTGGGGAAATGCTAACTGCTTATCGCAGGGGGTAAAAAGTAAGAATATATTCTGGATTTTGAAGTCCTGTTATCGGAGGTTGACTGTTGACCACCTATATGCATATTCAGAGATAATTTCTTATTTCTTACAGTCAAAAAACTGTGTGTGAATTGGGAGGAGGAATGACTTGTTTAGCTGGAGTAGCAGTTGCCATAGCAACAGATGCAAGTAAAGTCCTCTTGACTGATGGAAATGAACAATCAGCAGACAGTAAGCCAATGCTCAATTCACTGTTTTGTTTCCAAAAATTATGCTTGAAAGAGTAGTGGTTTAGAGGGTTGATTTAAAAGCATCAAGCTCTATTGTATGAAACATTATTAGGATGTTCTGTAATTCATTGACATTTTACAAATATAACATACACATACCTGTATATATAATGTGTACATTGTGTATGCAGCTTCATGTACTTGTAAATGGATGTTGGTATTATGTTTAACCTTTAAGTTTTACCTTGTAGATGTGCAAGAAATTATTACTAGAAATGTGAAACAGTTTTGTGATACTGAGGTACATTCCAGGTTAGTGAAGTAGAACTCTATATTACATATCTAGTGAAGCAGTTATATTTGAGTCAAAATAACCGTTGTACAACTGTGTGTTTTGAACTAATTTTTTTTATAGCACAAAGGGCAATATATGAGCATTTATTAGAAAACACCCCATTGTGATATAAGAATTCAACTGACAATGAGATGATTTATGAATTACATGTATGTCATCAATACCTGCACTCGAGGTTGAGGTTCTTGCTTGTACTCTGGTAAATTTGGGTAAATTGTTTAAATAAGAAAAAGCAAATTCCTTTTTGAAAGTATCTTAAAGTTTCGCCTTTTTTCTCATTCATATGTCCTTTACAATATTATTAAGGCAATTAAAAGTCAGAATCAAATTTCGACCACTTTCTGCTAAATTGTTTCTTAGCTTAATTCTCCAACTTTTTTATGAATGGTGTTCGCCAGTTGGTGTTCCGAAATGGCTGACAGCTGTAATAAATGGCAGGTGGTGACAGTTTGCTTTTTAATGCCTTGTTTTTTAAAAATTGTTCTTGCATGTATTTCAGCATTCTAAGATGGGACAGAAGACAAAGTGTTGGGGACTTAGAGGGAAAGTTTGACTATGTCATTTGTGCAGATTGGTAGGTTATTACATTTATTTTTTGAACAAAGCAAAATAGAAAAACTGTCAAAATGAGTAAATTAATAAGTATATTTCTATCATTTATAACATTTTATTTTTGATATGTGTATACTTAACACAAAAACACAGACTTATTATTTTTCAAATTGAATTTTAGGGGGAGGGGTCAAAGCTAAAATGAAATTAAATGTTTCTTGCAACTATTTACATTTTAATGATATCACTAAAAGGGTGTTTACATGTAACTTTATACATGTTAATGCTAAAATCATTTTTATTATCATACCTAAAGACAGTCTAATGTCAGCTTGATGTACAGTGCGTTGGTTTACAGCTAAACCTTTATCTTTCAGTTTCTTTTTCGATGAATACAGAGAAGATCTAGTCCATACCATATACAGCTGTTTAAAACCAAAGGTAAGTTGAAGTATATGAATAAGTTGATCAATATACAAGAACAACAAATACTGTAGATACACTGAATTTGATGCTACTTAATTTGGTGGACTTGCTCAATTTCAAATAGTGGCGGAGTCAGGACTGAGCATAAGTTTTATCATAGATCTGGAAATAAACACTTCAGATTCATGTGTTCTGTTCTGTATAGCACTTACATCCAAATAGGAATACTTACACAAGTGAAATAATTGCAAATTACAAATTCTCTAGGGATTTTCCAAAATAGATCTGAAAATTGGCGGATTTTTAATTTGGCGGATTTTTTTAATCCGTCAAATTAAAACGGTAAGGGTATCTACAGTAGGTTAGAACTCCAGAGCTTATTTTTATTTCCCAAAATATATGAGCATGAAGAAAGAACTGATCGCTGGAATATGATTTATTTGCTCAGATGATTTTTATCACACCATCGGTCGGATATAGTCGTCATACTGGTCGTGGTCGTGATCGTGGTCGTGGTCGTGATCGTGATCGTGATCGTCCCGCTTTTTGTCATCGCCGTTTAAGGAAAACTGCTCATCAGATTTTCTCCAAATTCAGAGAGATGATAGAGCATATAAAGTACTAGAGCTGATTAACTTTTGGGTGGCCATTTTGTTTTCTGGCGGCCATTTTGAAGGTTTTTCGAAAAATCTTGTCATCGCCATTTCAGGAAAACCGCTCATTGGATTTCCTTCAAATTTACACAAATGATAGAGGATATCAAGTACTAGAGCTGATTAACTTTTGGGCGGCCATCTTGTTTTCTGGCAGCCATTTTGAAGATTTTTCGAAAAATCTTGTCATCACCATTTCAGAAAATCCGCTCATCGGATTTCCTTCAAATTTACACACATGATAGAGGATATCAAGTACTAGAGCTGATTAACTTTTGGGCGGCCATCCTGTTTTCTGGTGGCCATTTTGAAGGTTTTTCGAAAAATCTTGTCATCGCCATTTCAGGAAAACCGCTCATCGGATTTCCTTCAAATTTACACAAATGATAGAGGATATCAAGTACTAGAGCTGATTAACTTTGGGCGGCCATTTTGTTTTCTTGTTCTTGAAATTTGTAAACATAATAGGAGAACAGTTTTCCTGGTTCATAGTGTCTGCCTATTTGATGGTGTGATCTCGTTCACGTCCTGTGCCTTGTTTCAGATTTCTAAAGGGGATGTGACTACACCCAACCACCTCCCCCATTTGACAAGCCTGGATATTGTCATAAACAAATATTCCTCAGATATAAATATTTATAAATGAGTATACAGTATGTAAATCAAATATCACAAAAGATTTTTGCAGTTGCAGGTACCTTCTTGTTTAATATTCAGACAAAAACTTTTTCTGGACATGACATCATAGTTTTATCATTTTTCCAGGGAGAAGCCATAATGTTTGCTCCAACACGTGGTGCAACATTCCAGAGTTTTATGGATTTATGTAAGGACAAATTCACTATGACACGTACTGAGAATTATGATGATACAGTCTGGAAACTTCATCAGAGGGTGAGAAGCATTGTGTGGCAAAGCACTACTTAGATCAAACATGTACAGTTCTTAGCTCAAACATGTATTTCACATCATACATATACTTAGATCAAACATGTACAGTTCTTAGCTCAAACATGTATTTCACATCATACATATACTTAGATCAAACATGTACAGTTCTTAGCTCAAACATGTATTTCACATCATACATATACTTAGATCAAACATGAACTCACTGACAGATAAAACATGTCTTAGATCAGATATATACTCAGATCAAACATGAGCTTGTTCTACAGTCGAACAATGTATTTCATACTAAACATGACCCAAGATCAAGCATGTACTAATAGATCAATCATGTACTCGGATCAAATGTTTACTTAGATCAAACATGTACAGTTCTTAGCTCAAACATGTATTTCACATCATACATATACTTAGATCAAACATGAACTCACTGACAGATAAAACATGTCTTAGATCAGATATATACTCAGATCAAACATGAGCTTGTTCTACAGTCGAACAATGTATTTCATACTAAATATGACCCAAGATCAAGCATGTACTAATAGATCAATCATGTACTCGGATCAAATGTTTACTTAGATCAAACATGTACAGTTCTTAGCTCAAACATGTATTTCACATCATACATATACTTAGATCAAACATGAACTCACTGACAGATAAAACATGTCTTAGATCAGATATATACTCAGATCAAACATGAGCTTGTTCTACAGTCGAACAATGTATTTCATACTAAACATGTCCCCAGATCAAGCATGTACTAATAGATCAATCATGTACTTGAACCACACATGTACTCATTAAAAAAACCATTATAAATGATAAAGTTAAGTATGAAATATGTTTATAGATCTTTAACTTCAATGGCCAGTACCATATGAATCTGAATAAACTACATATTACCACAATTTTAACCACCAGTTTTAAAATATTAGTAACATACTTCATTCTTTCCTTTCAGTACAAGTCTAAAGGAGAAGAGATATACGACGAGAACCTTCACTATCCTGTCATGTTACACCTCATCAAAAAAGAAGAGCTCTGAAATATACACATCTTCAAAAGTGAAATTATTTTCCAACTTTGGAAATATAATCAGGTTTATGCTTTAAAGTGTCAGGCATAACTGCCAAGCTTCAAGCCAATGGCAAATCATGTCAATAAATGTGCCCGATTTTTTTTCTGTTGTTTGAAGCAAGTTCAATCAAGTGTCACTTTTGATATTTATCAGTGTCAGGCTTTACTGAAAGTGTGAATAAGTGTTCTTCTCAGTTGTTTTACTGAAAGGCACTTCGGAGATTCTATTGTTGCTTTTCATTGCTATTTCAAACTTTTTTTTTTTAACTTTTTGAGATTATTTGTGAAATTATTTAAAAGTAACATTCCAAATTTAATCTGTTTTACTGAGATTTCGGTATCAACATTACAAACTTGTGTCATACCATACAGTACTGGTGTCATTCCAAATTGGTGTCATTCCATACTGGTGCCATTCAATAGAGGTGGCAGTCCATAATAGTGTCATTTTAAAGGTTGCCATTGATCACTAAAGTCTATGAAATATTATATACCCGTTTTGCACATGCAATCGTTACTAGGTTCATATCTGTTTCAGATTTAAGTAACCATATTCCATACTGGTGACATTCCATACTGGTTTCATTTAATAGAGGTGTCATACCATAATAGTGTCATTTTATAGTTTGCCATAATTAAAGTCTTTATTATGTTATTATTTAGTCTTACTGCAAGTACCGGTTTAGCACATGAAATCATTACTTGGGTCCATATCTGTTTTAAGTAACCATATTCCATTCTGGCATCAATTAATAGAGATGTCTTACCATAAAAGTGTCATTTTAAGGTTTGCCATCAATAATTAAAGTCCTAAAGCCAGTACCCATTTTGCACAATCATCACTGGATCTATATCTGTTTCAGATTTAAGTAACCATATTCCATTCTGGTGTCATTTAATAGAGGTGTCATACCATAATAATGTCATTTAAGGTTTGCCATTGATAATTAAAGCCTTAAAGCCAGTACCAATTTTGCACAATCATTACTGGGTCTATATCTGTTTCAGATTTAAGTAACCATATTTTATACTGGTGTCATTTAATAGAGGTGTCATACTTAACTAATGTCATTCCAAAGTTGCCATTGATAAAGCCATAATGATGTGTGATATTCTTTAAGTCATTACCATTGCTACACATGAAGTCATAACTTGGGTCCAATTTTAATCTGTTTAAGATTTAATAATCCTCATTTCACATTCCATACTGATGTCAGTCAATAGAGGTGTCATACCATACTAGTCAAGTGTCATTCAAATTCAACAGTTTGTCATTGATAAAATTCTAATGAAGGAGGCCCAATTCTAATTATTTATATTAAGATTTGAGAATCCCGATTACGTACTGCTATTATTCAAAAGTGGTGTCATTTCATAGTGGTGTCATTCCATCCCGGTGTCATTCCAAAGTTGTGCCATTTATAAAGTGTCAATGAGGCAATATATGATTTTTCGGGAGCTCTAAAATTCCAGTCACAAAATTTCCAGTCACAAAATTTATCTTTATGATTTGTATGAATTCTATGCCTGATATCAAGCATCCTTCTTCTAAGTCATTCCATTGTATAGCAGTGTATAGTTCTTTTGGCCAATTCACAATCTATGAAGTACATTTTTTATTTGTACTTAAAAGTCATAAAGTGATTTAGATAATTTTGAATTTACATTCCTATCAATTTAATGTTACATTTTTTCTTTTGGCCAATTCACAATCTTTGAAGTACATTTTTATTTGTACTTAAAAGTCATAAAGTGATTTAGATCATTTTGAATTTACATTCCTATCATTTTGTTACATTTTTTGGCAAATTCACAATCTTTGAAGTACATTTTTATTTTTACTTAAAAGTCATAAAGTGATTTAGATAATTTTGAATTTACATTCCTATCATTTTGTTGTTACATTTCTAATGAGATTAGACATGCCATGTTTGTATGTTTGTTCTTCATTAGCAGAATTGTTAATGTTGTCATCGCCTAGGATGTGTGATATTCTTAAAGTCATTACCATTGTTACACATGAAGTCATAACTTGGGTCCAATTTTAATCTGTTTAAGATTTAATAATCCACATTCCACATTCCATACTGATGTCAGTCAATAGAGGTGTCATACCATACTAGTCAAGTGTCATTCATAAAATTCTAATGACCGAGGCCCAGTTTTAATTATTTATATTAAGATTTAAGAACCCCCATTACATACTGCTATTATTCAATAGTGGTGTCATTCTGTAGTGGTGTCATTCCATCCCGGTGTCATTCCAAAATTGTGCCATTTATAAAGTGTCAATGAGGTGATATATGATTTTTCGGAAGCTCTAAAATTCCAGTCACAAAATTTCCAGTCACAAAATTTATCTTTATGATTTGTATGAATTCTATGCCTGATATCAAGCATCCTTCTTCTAAGTCATTCCATTGTATAGCAGTGTAAAGTTCTTTTGGCCAATTCACAATCTATGAAGTACATTTTTATTTGTACTTAAAAGTCATAAAGTGATTTAGATAATTTTTTATTTACATTGCTATCATTTTGTTGGTTCATTTTTTCTTTTGGCCAATTCACAATCTATGAAGTACATTTTTATTTGTACTTAAAAGTCATAAAGTGATTTAGATCATTTTGAATTGACATTCCTATCATTTTGTTGTTACATTTTTAATAAGATTAGACATGCCATGTTTGTATATTTGTTCTTCATTAGCAGAATTGTTAATGTTGTCATCGCCTAGGATGTGTGATATTCTTAAAGTCATTACCATCGTTACACATGAAGTCATAACTTGGGTCCAATTTTAATCTGTTTAAGATTTAATAATCCACATTTCATACTGATGTAAGTCAATAGAGGCGTCATACCATACTAGTCAAGTGTCATTCATAAAGTTCTAATGACGGAGGCCCAATTCTAATTATTTTATTATTCAATAGTGGTGTCATTCTATAGTGGTGTCATTCCATCCCGGTGTCATTCCAAAGTTGTGCCATTTATAAAGTGTCAATGAGGCGATATATGATTTTTCAGGAGCTCTAAAATTCCAGTCACACAAGTTCCAGTCACAAAATTTATCTTTATGATTTGTATGAATTCAATGCCTGATATCAAGCATCCTTCTTCTAAGTCATTCCATTGTATAGCAGTGTATAGTTCTTTTGGCCAATTCACAATCTATGAAGTACATTTTTATTTGTACTTAAAAGTCATAAAGTGATTTAGATAATTTTGAATTTGCATTCCTATCATTTTGTTGTTTCATTTTTTCTTTTGGCCAATTCACAATCTATGAAGTACATTTTTATTTGTACTTAAAAGTCATAAAGTGATTTAGATAATTTTGAATTTGCATTCCTATCATTTTGTTGTTTCATTTTTTCTTTGGCCAATTCACAATCTATGAAGTACATTTTTATTTGTACTTAAAAGTCATAAAGTGATTTAGATAATTTTGAATTTGCATTCCTATCATTTTGTTGTTTCATTTTTTCTTTTGGCCAATTCACAATCTATGAAGTACATTTTTATTTGTACTTAAAAGTCATAAAGTGATTTAGATAATTTTGAATTTGCATTCCTATCATTTTGTTGTTTCATTTTTTCTTTTGGCCAATTCACAATCTATGAAGTACATTTTTATTTGTAGTTAAAAGTCATAAAGTGATTAAGATAATTTTGAATTTACATTCCTATCAATTTGTTGTTACCTTTTTAATGAGATTAGACATGCCATGTTTGTATGTTTGTTCTTCATTAGCAGAATTGTTAATGTTGTCATCGCCTAGGATGTGTGATATTCTTAAAGTCATTACCATTGTTACACATGAAGTCATAACTTGGGTCCAATTTTAATCTGTTTAAGATTTAATAATCCACATTTCATACTGATGTAAGTCAATAGAGGCGTCATACCATACTAGTCAAGTGTCATTCATAAAGTTCTAATGACGGAGGCCCAATTCTAATTATTTTATTATTCAATAGTGGTGTCATTCTATAGTGGTGTCATTCCATCCCGGTGTCATTCCAAAGTTGTGCCATTTATAAAGTGTCAATGAGGTGATATATGATTTTTCGGGAGCTCTAAAATTCCAGTCACAAAATTTCCAGTCACAAAATTTATCTTTATGATTTGTATGAATTCTATGCCTGATATCAAGCATCCTTCTTCTAAGTCATTCCATTGTATAGCAGTGTGAAGTTCTTTTGGCCAATTCGCAATCTATGAAGTACATTTTTATTTGTACGTAAAAGTCATAAAGTGATTTAGATAATTTTGAATTTGCATTCCTATCATTTTGTTGTTTCATTTTTATTTTGGCCAATTCACAATCTATGAAGTACATTTTCATTTGTAGTTAAAAGTCATAAAGTGATTTAGATAATTTTGAATTTGCATTCCTATCATTTTGTTGTTTCATTTTTTCTTTTGGCCAATTCACAATCTATGAAGTACATTTTTGTTTGTACTTAGAAGTCATAAAGTGATTTAGATAATTTTGAATTTGCATTCCTATCATTTTGTTGTTACATTTTTAATGAGATTAGACATGCCATGTTTGTATGTTTGTTCTTCATTAGCAGAATTGTTAATGTTGTCATCACCTAGGATGTGTGATATTCTTGAAGTCATTACCATTGTTACACATGAAGTCATAACTTGGGTCCAATTTTAATCTGTTTAAGATTTAATAGTCCACATTCCACATTCCATATTGATGTCAGTCAATAGAGGTGTCATACCATACTAGTCAAGTGTTATTCATAAAATTCTAATGACAGAAGCCCAATTCTAATTATTTATATTAAGATTTAAGAATCCCCATTTCATACTGCTATTATTCAATAGTGGTGTCATTCTATAGTGGTGTCATTCCATCCCGGTGTCATTCCAAAGTTGTGCCATTTATAAAGTGTCAATGAGGCAATATATGATTTTCAGGAGCTCTAAAATTCCAGTCACAAAATTTCCAGTCACAAAATTTATCTTTATGATTTGTATGAATTCAATGCCTGCTATCAAGCATCCTTCTTCTAAGTCATTCCATTGTATAGCAGTGTATAGTTCTTTTGGCCAATTCACAATCTATGAAGTACATTTTTATTTGTACTTAAAAGTCATAAAGTGATTTAGATAATTTTGAATTCACATTCCTATCATTTTTTTGTTGTTACATTTTTAATGAGATTAGACATGCCATGTTTGTATGTTTGTTCTTCATTAGCAGAATTGTTAATGTTGTCATCGCCTAGGATGTGTGATATTCTTAAAGTCATTACCATTGTTACACATGAAGTCATAACTTGGGTCCAATTTTAATCTGTTTAAGATTTAATAATCCACATTTCATACTGATGTAAGTCAATAGAGGCGTCATACCATACTAGTCAAGTGTCATTCATAAAGTTCTAATGACGGAGGCCCAATTCTAATTATTTTATTATTCAATAGTGGTGTCATTCTATAGTGGTGTCATTCCATCCCGGTGTCATTCCAAAGCTGTGCCATTTATAAAGTGTCAATGAGGCGATATATGATTTTTCAGGAGCTCTAAAATTCCAGTCACACAAGTTCCAGTCACAAAATTTATCTTTATGATTTGTATGAATTCAATGCCTGATATCAAGCATCCTTCTTCTAAGTCATTCCATTGTATAGCAGTGTAAAGTTCTTTTGGCCAATTCACAATCTATGAAGTACATTTTTATTTGTACTTAAAAGTCATAAAGTAATTTAGATAATTTTGAATTTGCATTCCTATCATTTTGTTGTTTCATTTTTTCTTTTGGCCAATTCACAATCTATGAAGTACATTTTTATTTGTACTTAAAAGTCATAAAGTGATTAAGATAATTTTGAATTTACATTCCTATCAATTTGTTGTTACATTTTTAATGAGATTAGACATGCCATGTTTGTATGTTTGTTCTTCATTAGCAGAATTTTTAAAGTTGTCATCGCCTAGGATGTTTTTCCATTTTAGTCACAGTATTAAATATGGCAAAGTAAAACCTGTTTTAGTGAACACCTCTTTAATGGGTTTGAATTTTTCAATTTTAGATTGGCCAGTATATGTTATAGATTAAATTCTAATTCGATACGTGACGTCACAATAACTAGAACAATTGATTTACTGGTCTATATTCAAGCATGTATGACCGCTAAATTTCATAATTGCAAGAAGTTGTTTTTCTGGTTTGTTTATTATATTGTTCATTAATCATAAATAGAATCGTTACAAAGACCTTGATTCTATGATTTATGGCAAATATATGATCTCAGATTTTGTTCTGTCAATTGCGAAAGACCTTAATCTCTACGCGATTTTGTTTTTTTTTGGCATGGAACAGAATAATATTTTCGGTCATATATTGCGCCACATATCATAGAATCTCGGCCTTTTTCCTTAAGCAATGGCGTGAGTTAAATTCAAGATAGAAAGTACTACATGAGGCTCGCGCCAATGGTGTTCACTTGATACAGGTTTTACTGTGTGTATTAGTTATTGAAATAGTATTAAACAAATTATAGTCAATGTTAAAAATGTGTGTGATAATGAATTTTGTGTTTATTGTGATATATATGTATATTATTTGTCTAAATGTGAATATGTAGTCTGCATAAACTTATAAATGTATTTATATATAAGTTATATATGATGCTTATAAAATGGACAAAAAGTTTAATTATTTACATATAAATATTTATTTATTTTTTGCCATTTGTTTGGTTAGCAAGTCATTTTTAGTATTACATTGCAAGCTTTAATCGCTTAAAACATGCATTAAGGTTATAATTTACAGAAAAGTTTGAATATATGACAAAAGTGTATTGCTATACGTCACAATAAGGTAACCAGTGAACTTTAATTCTGGGGAAAATATTGTGATTGTTTAAAATTAGATATTTTTCTCTCTCTAATTATTAGGAGCCAAATGAGTTCTGTGATTTTTTATTTAGATATTTTTATTTAGTAATATGACTTATTCTTACATATTTACAAGTATACTGTATGCCGATTTTATATTGTATTGTTTGTGATTGTGTAATAAACGTAAATGTTTAAAAGAACATGATATTGTGTTTTAACTTTAGGCTAATAGCCTACTATGAATTGCTTAGAACCTGTGTTTGGAATATGCTAAACAAGCTGGCAAATTGACAACCAATAATTGGTACAAAAAAGTTTTCTAATATAATAGTGGATCTTAGGCGTTGACTTTTTTTAACAAAACACAAGACGAACCAAGTTTTATAAAACAGATTTGATTTTTTCCAGGAGATTTTTAAGTAATGCTCCTGTTATAAGTATTATAAAGTAATAGTGAAAAAAAACTACACTCATAATTGATTTCCAGTGCTTTGGCTAGTCCAGTTACAAGCCGTTGTGACACCCTCGCCACAACAAGTGTGAGAAGGTGTTTAGACAAGTAGAGGGGTGGGTCACAGAGGATCGTAGGTAGACTATGCTTTGGTATGTGGCACTTTCAAGAATGTTCAACAGGCCTTAAACATTATTTTGTCTTTGTATGAAAATCAAAATAGTAATTCTCGTTTTGACGATTTTTCTTGACATCATGTTCTAGTCTTGATTGTTTCGAGATCGTGCCACTTTTTTCGAAACATTTTAGATTTTGACATTTTTCTCAAAGAACCTCATTGTTTCAAACTTGCATTTCAAAATTTTTAAACGGTAAAGTAGAAATATCAAAAGTGTGTTGTACGTAAATGAAATGCAATATGATTCAGGGAAAATCTCATCTCCTTACCAGCTCGTCAAATCACAATGAAATATGTTTACAAGGGCTAAATTCGCTAGGTATCGAAAGAAGATATTTCCAGATGAGATCTGATATTTACATTTTTTACTTTTCAATGAACTTTAAGTCTCAATACAATGAGATTTGTATATGTAACCATTTAGATCTTATATTTCCTTCCATTTTATGGCAAATCAGGAAGTATTTGCACGTAAACCCTTGAACACATTCAGGCTCGTGAACCACTCGATTTAGATGATGTAATGTCTCTTCCAGGGGGCAGCATATTGAAATATTTAACTGCGAGTACTGTCTTTACTGCCACCCTGAACTTCTCCCTAGCAGAGTTAATATGCATAGCAGTTGGAACAATCGCAAGTTTTTCCGCGCATTGTGCGTTCTCCTTCTTTGCATTAGCTTCCATTTTAAGAGTTTGAGCTTTAATTTTGTCATTACCCGACGATTTCTGTTTCTTTGGTTTGATTTTATCTTTGTCGAAGACTTCAAATCGTTGGTCTGTAAGTTCTTCGTCTTCTTCCTCCGAGTCTGTGCTTATACTATCGAATCTATCCCGCACATCTTCTTTAGTTCCCACTGTTCTTTTAGTTGATATAAGGTCCGCTGTATGTGGGCGAATATCGATTGGTGTTTCGGGTGATTCTTCTAGCTTTGGTAAAGCTGGCCTGTTTTGTTTCTTATTAGCTGCTGCCCTCTCTGTGGCTACTCGTTTGGCTTCTTGAATAGTATCCAGTTGTTCCTGTGATTCGAATCCTAGCCAGGCGTACATTTTGTCTTCGGGTACGTCATCAATGAGATCACGGGGTCTAGATGGTTCGGGAATTTGACCAACGTCAAATGGATTCTCCTCGATTTCACAATAAATGTTTATCTTCGGAAGTGAGTATATTCTCACGTTTCTAGCTGATTCGTTCATTTCATCAATTTCTCCATCCATGTCCGTTGGACTTTGATCGATCCGGTCATTTAAGGTTATCCTATTGTCATTTATTTCAGATGTTTTAAGAATTCCCGGCAATGTTGTTACCGCAGTGATTGACCCCATGTTGGCATCAGTTGGCGTATCCTCACCGACTGCATCCTCTTTATTCTGTAAAGTTATGTTTGGCAGAGCGAGGTGAACTTTCAGTTGTGCTGGGGTTGTTGATTCTGGCAGGTCGCCATCGGTGACATTGGCAAATTTTTCTTTGGTGTGAACATTTTCAGGGAGCTTGATAAACATAGTAGGTGTAGTAGTAGACGAGTCCATTTTAATACCGGGTGGCTTTTCTGTAGCACTGTTTTGCTTTGAATGTGCGTTGGGAGGTAATGGTGTCTCTAGCCTCGTATCTTTCGTCCTTGGAGATAGCGTTGTTCTTTTGATATTCAACGTCAGCCCCGTCTCTTGTTCTAAAGCCTGTATGTGTTGATGCATTTCGTTCTCCTCTTCCCTGTGTGATTTCTGCGTGGCTTCTAAGTTATCCATTGCTTTGTTGAGGTGGCGACTTCTACTCGAGAGGAGCGAGTCTCCTCTCTGTCTTCTCACTGAGCTTATAGCCTCTGGAGCCGTAAGAGGGAAGTCTACATCGATTACTTCGAATTTCTGGTAATGTACAGTCCGTTTGTGTTTGACTTTATACACTGATTGGGCGCTGCTCCCGGAACTGGAGCTTTTAGAGCTTCGAATCGAAGATATGGATCCCGGGCCACGTTTACTAGTGAAACTATCACTGCGACCGAGGGGTAACGTGTTACTTCTTCTGTGGAAGCTACCGTTGCGGCTACCTGGTCTACTCGGTATATCGCCCATACTTCCATGGAAACTGTTATTTCGGCTTAATCCCCCGGGAACATCACGGAAGTTGTGAGATTTCAATAAGTCTATGTTTGTGAAACTGTTGTTTCTATTATGACTCCCGCCAGCAAACCCATTTCTTGGTCGTGTGGTATCACTTCGATGAATGCTAGGATTACTACCAAATGTCACGCTATTAGGGGGAGTTTGGGCAGCATCGGAAGCCTGCTTCTTGGCGGGATCAGCTATCATACCGTTTTGGTCATCGGGATCAATATCTTTTCTTAGGTCATCATTAGCCACTCGTATTTTCTCGTCACTGTGTTTCTGTTTGCGCCGTTTTTTACTATCCTCCAGCTTAAGCTTCAAACGTTCCATCCTCTTGCGCATCGTTTCCTGGGCTTTGTTTATATCCGCACTAAGGATATTCTTGGAAAGCTCTAAATGTTTTTGTTGAAATTCCAACATTTGGCTTTCCACTCTATTTTTCGATTCTACCGTTTTATTTATTTCGGAATACCCCACCTTCGCTGGCTTGCAGCTGAGCGTTATCCTCGTATTTGTGCGGGTCGTCATATTAGTTGTTTGCTATATTCTGTTCCGCTGTTTCGTTACTTTAGAATTGTGTCAGTTCTAACTATTTATCGTTTTAACTTCCCAGAGTGAATTTATATGATCTGGTATAATCACTGATTTATAGAATTAATATCCATTTTACATGGGCAGTTTATTTTGCAATTGCGTGTTGTTAACAATTTCCTGAATGTATTTTAGTCGATTTTTTTTATTTATTGCACATCAAACGACAATAAATGTTTGATATAGTAAGTCCCCGTTTCACAAGAAGGTCGTTACGACAGAATCTAACAGTCCAAGATCATGGCACTGCCCCGTAAAATGTATAATAAATAACTGGTAGCGTGTAGACATCATGGCTGATCAGCTAGACTTGGTTGTTGTAATATCACGGACTCAATGATTTTATATCCATCGTTGTCATAACTTTGCTGCGTTACTCTGAAAAAAAACACGTTTCCTCAATTATATTGTTACCAACTTCATATACGAGTCTGAAATTGAAAAAACAACAATTATCACTGGCGGGTCCAGAAGCTAAAAGGTTTGGGGGGGGGGCAAATTTTGAGTCAGGCAAAAAATTTGGAAATTTTTAAATTTTTTGTATGCCCATCCCCCACTGGATTCGCCATTGATTATGCTGTATAAAATCGAGGACTTTCACATAGTCTTAGCATCAGAAGTCATGCTATCTTTAATTGTGACCTATGAGTCTCTAATCAATACAATGAAAACATAGTTGGTCTTCCTATCAATCAATGATCTCCAATACAATTCAATATATAGAATGTTAACTGATAGAGCGAGATATACAATTCACTTGTTCATTTCTTTAAAAGTTTTAAATTGAAACTATCCTAGAAACAAAAGTTAATTTTTAACAACTCTCAAATTCACTTGGATTTTCTTAATTGTTGCTACTTTAAAGTAGATTTAAAGTAATTTAAAGGACTGTTGGACTCAAAGTAGACATTTCAATAGTCAAAATTGTATTATCTGAAGTTTAAATACGTTGTATTTGATAAGTGATATGAAACAAAAGCAGAAGATAACAAGGATAACCTCAAGTGTTGCTATTGACTTGTAATATAGCAACAATTCCTGAATTGTTGTCAACTTTCGGCTACCATGGAAATTAATTCAAACATTTAATGTAACTCTATGAATCTGACCAGGATATGAGGTCAGTCATGCGTACAATCTCATTAGAGAAAGAAAACCTACTTTCAAGCAAAAGCGGCATGACCGTATTGAATGTTTTGTAATCGTTTTCAACACTACTTTGTCGATCATAAAGCACAATACTTTTAAAACTTCATTTCCAAAATGGCCGTTCGACATTCTGGTAAAGGGAAATGACAATGGTGACAGTTTTGACTACAATAGACCTAATTTAATTATTGATATCTAGTTTTCAAATTCTGTGAAATTCACCTTAGTTACTTACCTAATTTCCGCTTCCTAAAGTTATTCCAACATCGCTAAGAGAGACTCCGGGATATCACTTATGTAGAGTTGTGTTAACTTATTGTTATCCCTAGGAGTTACACAAATATCATAACACCATGTGTCAATATTTGTTGGAGCGATTGAATATGCTTCTGATATCAGACTTTCACTTTAATTGGACCGGGAATTGGAACCTTAATTTTAGACACGTTAAATGTTTATGGCTCTACTGCTCACCCAGACTGTGACATTGTGTATTTTCTATCAATTATTTTGTTGTTTCTACGCTGGTGTTCCGCCGTCTATTTTTGGTACCACTAGAGTTTTTAGTTTTCACACCAATATCTGTGTTTCTTCGCTTTTCCTGGCTTGTCGTGAAAACCTTCATGAATGCTTTAAAGTGATACTTCAGGATTTCACTTCAGGATGGTCTTCCTGATTACGTATGTTTTGGTTCATATTGGTTCGACCGAGCAAATATTCCAATAGTAGCAAGTATGACTATTTTTCTAAAATGATTTTTTTACTAGAAAGTCTTCAATGGTGTTATGAGGTCTTCATTTGATCGAAGCATAAAACCAAGTTCTCAAGTAGTTTACGAAATCTTTAGTATTCAATCTATAATCGTATGTATTTGATAAAGTTGCACAACTCTTGAACACGTAAACATGCGTTCGTGCTGTCGTCTAAATCTTGTTTATCGTCATAGAGAAATTCAAAAGCTGATTAACGTTTCTGAACATTCTATCGAAAGATATCGGTAATACTATTTCGTTCATCTCACCTTTGAACATGAGATTAAGAAGCATGGTCAACTCTATAAGAGGATCTTAAAAACATCCAAAACCTAAAAACCATATAGAATACTGACTTACTTGCGTATGTCAGTTGTTCATGTTCGTGTGTGATTGGCAATATTACAGAACCATATATAGATTTTAACTAAAAATGTAGTTTTTCCAATATGCAAATATTTGTATCGCGCGTTCCAAAATGAAAAAAAGTTAGATGCAGAGAGAGTATTCTGGCAAACCACAAAAAGAACAGATTCATTGGCCTTCAAACATATCTCTGTGTAGCGTAAGTCATCAACGCGATTGAAGTCATTTTTTCTGAACGTTTCCTCCACCTTTATTAAAAGACCTTTAAGTTCTTAGCCATGGATCAACATAACATGATCACTTACGGTACAGTAGTTCGGCTCCTTGCCTATTGTCGCGAGCAACACGACGTGTATTGAGCGTTACATAACGCATCAAAACTTATTTGTTTGTGTATTGTAAGTGTATTCTCAACCAATGCGTTGATAAGAATAAGTTGCATACGAATATTTGTTTTGTCGATTAATTGAAAAGTAACATAATGTCTTGGGTGATTATTGTAAGATTAAAGATTACAATAATCATATTTTCATTTTAGATTGTAATATATTGAATTTTGTTTCCTAGTTACCGAGTATAAGTGGCAAAATTCGATCAAACCAAGTTCTGAAACCGTCATATCCCCCAGGCACATCCCGTCCTAAAAATCTTAAAACGTGGTTAACCGAACTGAAAATAAAATCCTAGTGATCGTACCATGGGCCTAGCTAGGGGATGCGATGGGTGCAATTGCATCCCCACCCCCACAAAAAAGGAAAAAGCAATCTTGTAAAATGTATTGAAAAACTTTAATGAGTTATAGTTATATAATGCTTAGAATGCACCATACATAATGTAAATTTCCGTATATTTTTGGGCTTGCTTCGCTCGCAGTGATGCAAACCCCCCAAAATCGCATAAACAGTAAGTTTCATCTCCTAAAACGGATCGTAACGAGAACCAACTTTTAAAATCGGCAAGAAAGAAAACGTGTTGTCAAGTTTTTCAGAACAATTTATTTCATTTTTGACCTACTTCCAGGGTACTATATATGACTGACAAAAAGATGTAATTCGATCGGATTGGATCCGTCTGCAGCGAGTGCGAACATGATGGACAATGACAATGGAGATGAACACAGTCTGATAAACACCGTCATAATTTTGAAGAGGCTCGAAGTTCTGTCAGAGCGCCTTTCCGTCCCAGAAAATCTATAAAGTTCGTAAATACCACGTGCGAACCCGTAGCTTCGTTAAATGCATTCATACACATTTTAACCCGATCGGCATCAATTTTCAATGAATAAATGAATAAAAACAGTCTGCAACTAGTTCCACTGGCTGATCCAGGGGACTCCAGTGGCGTAGCCAGGAAAAAAACAACGAAGCGAAAATATTTCCGAGCGACGAGCCTCATCATGGAACACCACAAAAAATTATTTCCATTATTCAGATTTTAAAATGGCGGCTATGTAACTCAGTCAGAAAAATACGAATGTAAATTATTCGTCGGAAATATGAACGTCAATACTTATAAAACACGATTAAAATACTCGCTTAGTTCTTAGTGATGGCAATAGCAGAACATGATGGTGAATAAAAATTGATAAAAAGTTATACAATTTTTAATTTACAACTCACATAGAGGAATATTTCTTAAAAGATGTCCTGGCCATCATGGTTTTGTTTGAATTAAAAAATTTGTATCAAGAAGCAAAAGTCTTTCCTGGGTCACCGCGAATGGCATGATTTCCTCGAGTCTCTTCAGTTGCGAGGCAACCATACTGGGACCGATTCGTGTCGTTCCACTACTGCCCTTGGTGGGGGCCCGCTACCATACTGTATGACTCCCGAAGTCTACCAAAGCACGTTAGTGGAGGAACCAACCACAGTCTCACAATCTGTCTCCGACAATAGCGGTCAGAGAGCCAACCCAAGCCAAGGGCCGGTATACGGTTGGACCTTCGAACCGGGTGTCCGTAGTGACAATGATCAACAACTCCGTACCTGGGGCTCGAACGCGGGACCTCCGTATCCCCCGGTACATTCTACCACAGTCTAACCCACTCGGCCAAACTGCTCAGGTGTCTAAACTGTTCAAAAATGTAATATTTGTTCTACCGTTTTGCTTGAATGAACTTGAACATGCCTATGGTGATCTTATTTTCTAAACCATTTGTTTGGAACAACTAATTAATAAAGACAATCACCACGCGCAAACGTGTGAATTGTCTACGGCGCGTAATTGCGCCTTCTGATATATGTTGCGTGCAACAGAAGAACAAGAGCGAATTCGATTATTGTGCCATTTTATTTTTGCATCTATCAATTTTCAGTGTTCATAAGCAAGATTTATTCAGAAAGGTTGAGTTTACAGTCACCACAACGCGTCATCTGTTAGAATAATCCCGTACATCGTAAGTGTTCGAAATATTTTCATTGATGAATTCAATATTTGGATCAATGATGTTTGTCACATGTACTTGCTTTTGAGATATTAAATCGCCGTCTTAATTCGCATTTCTCTCACATTTCTACAAGTTAACGTAAAAATCTCGTCTACATGTATTGACCCTTTTTGATAAAATGTACTTGTAAAAATGTACATAAGATTCGTACATACGAAGTATGTATGTTCGATCGAGGACATTGTTACACAAGTTGTTTTTGGACCAACGGTATGTGGTAATTAATGAGACGTTGGGCCAAACAAGCCAATAATAGGCCAATAATGTTGCCGAGTGGGTTTTGAATTTACCCGATTTCTATTCATTCATGAACATTTACGTCATTTTCCAAGGGCAAAAATCCGACTAATTACTGTTACGCCTTCGACATATTTTCTTTTTTACAATGGGTCTTGGAAAAGATGTTTGTTGGAATTGTTATTTGATGATGACGTGGAATATTACTTAATTTACAAACCTTTTGCCCAATATTGAAGTTCATTGCCCACTGATGACAATCCATTCAAATACACTGACCACACAAAATGAAGTTTGTTGCCCCCTGATGACCAATGTACTCAGATACACTGTCCATGCATAATGAAGATCGATGTCTACTGATGACAATTAATGTATTCAAATACATTCACCACACATAATGAAGTCCGATGTCCACTGATGACCAATGTACTGAGATACACTGTCCACACATAATGAAGTCCGATGTCCACTGATGACCAATGTACTGAGATACACTGTCCACACATAATGAAGATCGATGTCTACTGATGACAATGCATTCAAATACATTCACCACACATAACGAAGTCCGATGTCCACTGATGACCAATGTACTGAGATACACTGTCCACACATAATGAAGTCCGATGTCCACTGATGACCAATGTACTGAGATCACTGTCCACACATAATGAAGTCCGATGTCCACTGATGACCAATGTACTGAGATACACTGTCCACACATAATGAAGATCGATGTCTACTGATGACAATGCATTCAAATACATTCACCACACATAACGAAGTCCGATGTCCACTGATGACCAATGTTCTGAGATACACTGTCCACACATAAAGAAGATCGATGTCTACTGATGACAATAAATGTATTCAAATGCATTCACCACACATAACGAAGTCCGATGTCCACTGATGACCAATGTACTGAGATACACTGTCCACACATAATGAAGATCGATGTCTACTGATGACAATTAATGTATTCAAATACATTCACCACACATAACGAAGTCCGATGTCCACTGATGACCAATGTACTGAGATACACTGTCCACACATAATGAAGATCGATGTCTACTGATGGCAATTAATGTATTCAAATACATTCACCACACATAACGAAGTCCGATGTCCACTGATGACCAATGTACTGAGATACACTGTCCACACATAATGAAGTCCGATGTCCACTGATGACCAATGTACTGAGATACACTGTCCACACATAATGAAGTCCGATGTCCACTGATGACAATGCATTCAAATACATTCACCACACATAACGAAGTCCGATGTCCACTGATGACCAATGTACTGAGATACACTGTCCACACGTGCACGTAATGAAGATCGATGTCTACTGATGACAATGCATTCAAATACACTGACCACACATAATGAAACTCGGTGTTCACTGATGACCAATGTCCTGAAATAAAGAGTCAGTGAACAAAGGGAGTATCCATAAAGGTTTAATCTAATTTGTCATGGTTATTAAGAAGTGTGTTTATTTCTAACAAGGTACATGCAACTCAATTTTCAAAAGTAGTGTTACTTGATAGTGGTCGTGAAGTGTAAGTATTCATCATGACGAGGTTGATCTGTCGTTGGGATGTGCGTCAGTTGGTGCTTAGAGACGTCAGTGGACACAAAGTGAAAGAATGGGCTAAAGAGCGATAGAAATGACTTTTAAATAAAGATGGCAGCACAACCAACCTATTGTACATTTCCTATACCACTACTGCTATCTTAACATCGGTCTTAAACCTATATGAGCGAAACTAGCCCTAATATCATTTGCAGAAAAAAATGTTAAAATGTTAAATCAACAAGGGGAAAACAAAGAACGGTCCATATCATCCAAAACAGGCAATTTCAGGATTTAGCACAATATCTAATATCACTTTCTAGTTTTTCCCAACATTTGTGAGTCATTGTATAGAATGACTAGTACTACTGCCTGATACAGGATATCCCCGTTTCCTCCTCTGATATGTTTACAATTAATTAGTTAATTTTATAACCAGGAAAGTTTTGTAGAACACTACAATTGTTTCAGATCTTGTGATAATGAAGTGTTTGCCAAATACAAGTGGTATTCTAGAGCTTCCTAAACCAGCATGCATTAGAACTATCGAAAATGGAGTTAAAACATCTATTGGTCTTATGCCTCATGGCCGTATCGTCTAATTGTCAGCTAACAACATCAAGAAGCTCAAAGTTCTACATGCAGAGCACAATGCCAATGTATGATGATGTTATAACACAGATGCAAGAAGCTATATATGTGAAAACTCAAGAAATAGCCGTTTTGAAGAAAATGGTCGTGAACTTACAAGCCAATTATACTCAATTAGGCGTTAGTATAATTTTTTGATTGTTTGACTTTTTGTTATATTCGATTCTTTGTTATATTGTAATGACATTCTGACATGCAACGACTAAATAAAAGATATTATGATATATTAACATGGCTGTTATTTTACAAACAAGGAAACTGCTCGACTCAAAGGTGACAGGGGTACTTCTGGACATAAAGGTGACCAGGGAGCTGCTGGACCAAAGGGTAACCAAGGAACTGCTGGATCCAAGGGTGACCAAGGAACTGCTGGATCCAAAGGTGACCAAGGAACTGCTGGACCTAAAGGCAACCAAGGCATTGGTGGACCCAAAGGCGACCAAGGTACTGTTGGACCAAAGGGCGGTCAAGGAACTGCTGGACCTAAAGGCAACCCAGGCATTCGTGGACCCAAGGGCGATCAAGGCACTACTGGACCCAAAGGCGACCAAGGTACTGCTGGACCCAAGGGCGACCAAGGTACTGCTGGACCCAAGGGCGACCAAGGTTCTGCTGGACCCAAAGGCGACCAAGGCACTGCTGGACCAAAGGGCGACCGAGGTACTGCTGGACCAAAGGGCGACCAAGGTACTGTTGGACCCAAGGGCGACCAAGGTACTGCTGGATCCAAGGGCGACCGAGGCACTGCTGGACCCAAAGGCGACCAAGGTATTGTTGGGCCCAAAGGCGACCGTGGAAACGCTGGTCCGCCTGGTTTTTCGGGGCCAGCTGGAGAGAAAGGTGACAAAGGCAGTCAGGGCCCTAAGGGGGACAGCGGAGGTACGAAAAATAAATATACAGGGTGATCCAAATGTTGCCTTTTCAAAACTCCCGAACAAATCTTTTTTGGGACTAGAGAAAGATGTTTCCCAAAACATTATCCATGTTAAATGTTTGATCGGTCGATATCATGGTATATTAAACCAATGCGATATCAACCGGGGTAAATTACTTGAAAATTACTTAAAATGAAAATAATGATCTCATTGTCATAGTATTAAACAACAACCTGCTTTTTGGAGTTCATACAGAACCTCATTAACGAACAATTATCAGGCTACCAGTGGTCATACTCCTAACTATATTTAAACGTCGCTCTAACAATATGTTGTAATAAATCTTGTTTTATTTTTCAGTTGTCTATCCCGTAGACTGTAGTGACAACCCAAGCTTTACTGGTATAAAAACAATCCAACCCCGGGGAAAAGTTTCGTTCAGAGCGCGTTGCAGCACGGGTTGCGTATTTATGGCCAGACGCTTCAATGGGAGTGTTAATTTCAACCAAGGCTGGGTGGAGTATAAAGAAGGATTCGGGCCCTTGGAGGGAGAGCATTTCATCGGCCTTGACAATCTACATGGTTTATTATCACAGGGAAGTTATAAACTCCGAATAGAATTAACCATGTGGCCTCCTGAAAACGAAACTCGTCATGCTGAATATTCGGTGTTCGATGTTGGCGATAGACGCAGTAACTACCGACTGACGATTGGTGGATATAGTGGAGATGCAGGGGACTCTCTTACTTACCATAATGATACGCAGTTTAGCACAATAGATCGTGATCACGATGAAGACGCAAGAGGAAGCTGTGCCTTTACATATAAAGGGGCATGGTCACTGCTACCCACCTAATTACACAGACGTATCGTCGGTGTATCATGGCGGAACTTCCTCCGGGACTAGGTTTCGGTAAGATTTTTTTATTTCCCGATTTACACCTACTTATAAGTCACGTTGTGGATAATAATTTGGCTCGAAGTTAAGGAAGATAGTCAAGTTTGAGAATGTGTCGATGGTTTTAGGTTTTATATGTTAACAAAGACACAATTCACGTATTTAGTCCCTCGCTTTTCTTACACTGACGAACGACCAATATCAGTGTAATATTGGCTATATTAATGCCGATCGTCAGTGTAAGAAAAGCGAGGGACTAAATACGTGAATTGTGTCTTTGTTAACATATAAAACCTAAAACCATCGACACATTCTCAAACTAGACTATCTTCCTTAACTTCGAGCCAAATTATTATCCACAACGTGACTTATAAGTAGGTGTAAATCGGGAAATAAAAAAATCTTACCGAAACCTAGTCCCGGAGGAAGTTCCGCCATGATACACCGACGATACGTCTGTGTAATTAGGTGGGTAGCAGTGATGGTGGTATAAAGGATGCCATTTCTCAAATCTGTTTGGTTTTTATAATACTACCGGTCCAGGATGTACTGTGTATGCTACATGCGTCACATGGTACAATTGGCCGGACACAATTGCATCTCCGAACAACAATCGTTATTCTTTCAAAAAGGTTGATATGAAAGTGTGCCCAATCTAAAGAAGTGTTGTATTTTTGAGAAATATTTGGGTCAGAATTACAAAATGTACAAACAACTTGTAGCAGGTAAACTATAAAACAAATATAAAACTATTAAACTAACTACTAAGCCTTATGTTTATTTCTCATAAACGTGCAGTTATTCTTTTTTATAAGAAGTTTTATATGGGACATGAATTTATTTTTGGATTTTTAGTTTCAACTCTCCTTTTCTCTGTATTATTGAACTTTGTTATCAAATTGCTTATTTCATTTTAAAAATGAGTGGTATTGTTGGCAGTGTTGAAATTGCTTAGTCATACAAAGCATTTAGACAAAAAGCAAAACATGTTTGCCTTCGTAAGGAAAGTTTCCCCCGGGAAGCAAATCACTATAAAATCCAACAAATGTTAGATCCAAACGAAGCTTTATGGGGCAATTAAACGGAGAGCTTCGACAGAGTTGCTTAGTTGGGCGTTTGCGATGCGATGCGCGTAAAGTATACGTAAATCCCGTCTAGAATCGCAAGTGTAGATTTAACCATAAGGTTAACGTAAATGTACAAGATCCTTTTTAAACTACGCAGCCATTTAACCCTTCAGTGTAACAGATACCATTGTTTTTCTACATGAGAACAGATTTCACATTTGATTTCCCTATAGACCCCCAGTGACCTTTGGTAATTTGATTCTGGATTTGTGGGTGCTTTCGCACGAATAATATTCCTGGAATATATACTATTGTAATGAATAAACCCTTTCTTATCAAGAATGGCTACTTCTCGTTTATTTTTCAACACGAATTCAAAAACACAGTATTAATAAGTAGGTGATTTTATCCAGTGTTCACTAAATATTACCTGTTTGAGAAATGTGATTGATATTGTGCATTCGTTAAATTCATTTCAAAATTGCTACTTGAGACTCATGATTTTGTCTTGGTGTTGATTTCCCTTGAATTTGGTACATCTTTTTAGATCGCGTGATAAATGATTTGTCTAAGTCCTGTGACTGCTTAACATAGGCCAGAGCCGATTGAATAGCTATCACCCTGGTACCGCGCATGGCTCCTCTTGGCTTATTCTAATGAAATGAAATGATCGACTTGTGGCACTATCCCTAGTAGGGGAGAGAGAGAAAGAAACTATTAGAAGGATTGAAACAAGTAGTGCGAACTGCACAGAACGATGGAATCAAAGCACCTGTACCTCTTCAATTTGATTTTACTTCTTCATATTATAAATCATAGAAATGCAACTAAAACAAAAACCTACAATAAATTCGCTAATATCAGTATAGGCAGGTCAGATAACGTCACAAAAACGATTAGCGTCGGCACGGTGCACGAGTGTGCTATTCGGTGTTTGCTGGAAGAATGGCTTTGTAAATCGTTCAATCTAAAGACGGTTGAAGGGAGCAGTGATAAAGTGTGCGAGTTGATCGGAACTTTATGGGGACGAGTGGTTACGAATACTGCGAGTGATTATTATTACCATTCTCTGCAACAAGGTGAGATCATGGACCTCAATCCATGGTGAGGTGTACTTTTATGACTGATTTCGATTCATCCATTGACTGGATATGTACAGGGTTGATAAAACTGCAACTTTCTCATTTCTCATTTATTATCTTCGCGAAATTTGATTGATGGATTAAGTCATTTTTATGAGCTCGATAATAGAATTTCCAAACCCAATATTTCAAAATTTTACTCGATGAAAAGCTATGGTGTTAAAAATTCAGAAAGTAATAGATAAAAAATAATTGCCACGGAAAAGACCAGTATCTCTTCAATGTCTTATGATAGTTTGCATATTACTAGCATATGGTTGATATTGTCAGTAGTCTAAAGGTATTCCTCTGTAATTTTTTTGAAATTCAGATCATTCATATGGAATATAAATTGGTTGCCTTTAACATTGGAAATGATGGTGGTAGTTTTTTTTAATCTGGAACTTGTCCTTACTTTAAGCTTTGATTAATTTAGAATTTCAGCTGATATGTGTATGATAACGTTGAAACACTTGAACAGGATTAGATTTAATCATTCCCTTTAGTTGTATTCTTATTTTTAATAGACCAGGTATCCAATGTCCCTTTAGAACTGAACAAAAATCACTTGAACAGAATTATAGATATACTAGATTAGTAATCGTTTCTTTTAATTGTATTCTTACCTTATTAAAGGAAATCTAGGATAAATGATATTAAAGTATCTTATGTCCCCTGAGAACTGGAGAAATCATTAATGTTATTATCCATGAACTAACGCGCTAAATATACAAGGTGTCCATAATTTGATTTACAAATAGAATATAATACAAAGTCTGAGTTAAGAGACTTGACAGATACCATATATATTTGTATCGTAGAAAAAGTTTAGAAGCACATATGTTTCAATTGTGGTCTCAACCTAAAGTCTCATAATCTAAATGTCAACATTCCCCACTTATTAGGTAACAATCAAATGGACAAAAATGGTCTAATAAAAATAGTTTTTATTTGGTTATCCTGATCTTTCAACTGAAATGATTTTCAAACTAGTTACAATTTTTTTATCAATTCATTTTTCAGACAATTCCACTTAATGCTCAAGATGGCCTCCTTATGCTCCAACAGATAATCTTATCACCTTGTCCCAGCACCATTACCCAGCAAATACCAGCAAACCCCTTTGTCTTTTTCACATACTCTATGTTCTTTTTATATTTAAAGTTAACCTATAATGCTATCATTTCATAGCGATTGGTCACTCATATCAGCAACTATTTGTACTTGTCTATTATATAATGAAATAAAACAGATTATAAAAAAAATAATTCCAATCCATTGTTGCTGATTGTTAAAATAGCTATGTTACTTAGAACATTTTTTATTTAGTCAAATGTAAGGAACAACTTATCTCTGGAGATATCCACAGTGTCGATGATACAAGCATCACTGCCTCAACATATTATGGTTATGCGCATGCCCCGAGCAGAGGTAGATTAGACACATCGGTGATGATACTGTAAGTACTTGTATGCGAGATTCATTAAGGTCTAATTTAACTAAATGAAGATTATAAAAAGTGGCAGCCAAATGTTTTTTTGATAAAATCTCAAGATGTAAAATCTGTTTTCCTTGTATATGGATGTATTTCTTGACTAAAGAGACATGTCAAAGTGAACATCACATTTAAACGCATTTTTCATAACTATGAGTTTGAGGTGCATGGGTCCCTATAGCCAGCATGGAAACAGTGAAGTGAGGATAACTTTTTAAAATTTCAAGATGTAGGATTGTAATGGAGACACATTTGTAAGACTTCAAAATTTCTACAAATCATCTCACCAAGGAACATCAAAGGAGCATGAAAATGTGAACTTCTTAATGCATTGCTCACGTATAATAAAGCTTAAACCATTGTGAATTCTAAATATTTCATGTTCACCATTTTGTTTGCTGGGACTATTTTTCCAGAGTAATCCTCACTCATGTAATCTATCCATTGTTTATCATTTAAAAAGCCTCAATCATGTATCTATCATGATAATTTAACTGTTATAGATAAAATATACTAGTGGTTATCAATGCCACTTGGTGCAGTCACAGAACTTGTATGAGGATTAATCAGGAAGTCTAGAAGTAGTTCCGGCAAACAAAATGGTGGACATGAAATATTTATAAGAAACTATGGTTTGAGCTTTAGTATACTCTTACTATGCAAGGAGTGCACATGTTCATGCTCCTTCGATGTTCCTTGATAAGGTAAGATGATTTGTGGAAATTTTGGATTCTTGCAAGTGTGCGACTGTTGCAAGGCTACTCCATGAAACTTTCGAAAATTAGCCTCACTTCACAGACTTCATGCTAGTTTTGGGGACACATGCACTTCCAATATCTTGTGACTTTATCAAAAAAAATGGTTGCCATTTTGATTAACTTAATCGTTACCTTAAAAGCGACCTGATTATTGGACATTGCGAAAACCATTTCAGGCTGTTCTCTCCCCCCCTGGATACTCATGGTCACACGATCTCAGATGATCATGGCCTAATTGGTACTCAGCAATATGAGGCCAAATCGAAAGTAGCACAAAACGAACTTGCGGATTTTTAGTAATGCATAGATAGAAGGGAAAGTATAAGCTCCCTATAAATGTATCACTTGTCCGAGTTTTTGAAATAATCCTAACTTAAATTGAAATAATTAATAACTTATATTTGAGGATTGACTTATTTGGCAATACTCTGGCATTATACCCTTTCAGTGTTTAAATGTTTCAAATATTCCGAAGTGTCGATCATTAGTAAATTAATTTTGATCAAAGTTCAATTGAAACAATCATGAAATAATTTCTGCCATTCAAGATCAGGCCTCGCATCATGCTGGGCTCCTGGCGTCAGCAATGCAGATCAATGGATCCAAGCGGACCTTGGTGAAATTATGTTAGTGATGGGGGTCGTCACTCGAGGAAGACAAAGCAATGCGTATCACCACTGGGTTACGTCATACAAGTTTTTGTATGGGGAGACTGAAAACAATTTGGAAGAGTACAGAATGGTACCTTTATGATTAATACTTAAATATATATTTGTAATCCTGAAGACCAAAAATGTTAAGTATAATGATCTGTTCCTGGTTTTTTCAAAGTGATCACGGTTATGAACGCTCTTTATGGCAAAGTCAAATGATTATGTAAGTTATAACCCATTATATTAACGATTAAAATGACGAATTGGCCATAATTATAGGATATCCTATGATTTTGAGGAATATCATTTTTATCTACGAGGTAATATATACCCTATGATTTTGAGGAATATCACTGACTAGATTAAAATGATATTCTGAAAAAATCATGGGATGTTCTTCTTATCCTACACTTACAAGGAGTGTACTAAATGAATAATATCATTGCATCATGAATTTCATGCCAAATAGAGTCAATTTGGCGATATATCTGTTACTCATAACAAGTCACCTCGATTGTTTCACGCAACCAATGACTGCTATTTTCAAGATTCTACAAGGGAATGAGGACCGATACACTCATGCAATAAACCTGATTGAACCACCAGTGCTAGCAAGATTTGTGCGGATCAACCCCCTGACTTGGCATAAAGCAATATGCATGACATTTGATGTTCTTGGCTGCCCAGGCCCAAAAGGTAACTCTTGAGTACTATGGGGAACAGAGAGGGACTAAGGTATCAGAAAACCCATGCCATCTTAGGTAGGCATTGGCCAAATCTTTCGAAGATTTAATAATTACTTAAGGATAGAACTTTAGGTTTATTCTAAATGGGCACACTTTTATGGCAATTTTTACAAAACATGCTCAAAATGCCAATCTATTGTCTCTGGAGCAAATTGAACTTGTTCTGACTACACGCCCATGGGCATCTTGTGTAACAGACCTCACCTTCCTTCGTATCCCTTGTTTTAACTCTCTGATGATTCTAGGGTTATCTGTAGACATTATGTTTGAGTTAAAAGTCTATGGATTGATGTCAGATGAGTCTGACATGGACCGATAAAGCTTAGGAGAATGAAATATGGTTTAATTGTGCAAAAATTACTTAAAACCTATGTTGGATGACTGGGTTATGAAAATTTGTTGGGTTACCTTTTTTTGCTTAACCCTGTATGATGTATATTTAATGGTTAATTTCAGGTACAAAGTGAATGACGGGTCCTGACGGAATATGTCATACGTTTGAAATTCAAAATGCGGTAACTTGCTGAGATTATCAAGATGGATTTGCCTTTGAATGGCTGTTTAGAAGAATCGGTGGAATTACTGTATAGCAAAACATGTCTTCAAGAGACTACACATAATCGGAAGTGAACAACTTATTTATTTTTAATCAAAGTGCCCCTGTGCGTACTTTGCAGTGTTCTTATGCAACATGAAAAATTGACTGTTCATCGCCAAAGCATTCCCAAATGGGCCAAAGACAGCTAAAGCGAGCTACAATTATCATAAATATATTCGATCTGTCAAATATTTATGTCATGTTTTTCAAATTAGTCAAACAGCACATGGTGGATATATTCATATAATACGATTCATTTAGTCTATGTATCGACCATGTACGCCATCTGTTCATTGGAAAAGAAAATGTACAATTTCGCTATTGTTACATGTAGGTATATTATGCCTATTTCAGTTTGCTTTTATCGACACTACACATTTGGTATGTATATGGATATGTCTTCTATCAAATACTAGGGCTGTTTCACAAGAACGATCGACTTTAAGGGCCGAAATGTGGATTTTACCAATACCACTAAGGTTCCCATTGATCACCTGAAAGAGAAACATAGATAAACACAGATCGATTACCATGCCATCTTTATTTAAAAATGATTTCTATCGCCCTTAGCCTATGGCAAAAACAATCGACTCCAGATTTTCATCTGGAGTCTAAAAAGGAAAAGAGGCAAAAACAATAGACTCCAGATTTTCATCTGGATTCCATCTGGAGTCTAAGAAGAATAAGAAAATGGGCAAAAACAATAGACTCCAGATTACAATCTGGAGTCTTATAATTTGAAATGTCAAAAGGCAAAATGTATGTTTAATTACAATTACTTGAATTCTGTAGATATAGATTTGAATATAGTGTGATGTGCTCCAAAGCTTTTCTCTTTCAAATTCTTGTTTTTCCCAAAGCCCAAGTGTTTTTTTTATGTAAGTTGGTCCGACTCTATTGAAATTCTTAATGCATTGAAATAGTCGTTTTTGTTCAAATCAAAGGACATTGTTTGCCAAAATGAAAACCTTTGCGTTAACACTATGTGTATTTTAAAAATGTAAATAGCGATAAACAGGAAGTTAAAAAGGTGCAATACGATTGGCAGAGTAAGCATCTTGACCGAACGCTTTATCTGAAAGAATTCAATTCAATCTATTCATATTGCATGCAAAATATTCTTTTTTGTTATGTGGAGAAGTTGTGCTTATATAAGAGGAATTGCGTACATAGAGGAGCTTTTATACTGGACGATTCACAAGTGGCGGACTAAAATTAATCTTGGATTGTAACAGGTGAGATTTTAAATTACAATTCTTCATTTCTATACTAGTATCCATTTTGAATCTCATCTAAACGTAAGTTGTTTGACGTTTGCTGCAAAATGAATTATTTGTATAATCTGTTTACAGCAGACTTTATTGTTTGTGTCTGAATAGGGATTCAATTGACAGACGTTGATAAACTGATTTTCATCTCGGGTGGTAAATGAAATGTATGCAAAGCGTATTTTCGTAATTTCATATTATATGTGACGTTGTAAGATATTGTGATGTTTTTTCTTTTCTTTTCTTATATTTCCAATTCTGTATGTAATGTAACTGTCTTATTAGACGCAAATAACTTATACATATACATGAAGAAATTGTTCCGTGATCTTGTATATTTTGGATTGTGATAATATTTCCTTAAAGGAGGGAGGATGTTGGATCGAATATTGTTTACGACAATCTATTACGACTTAGTTATTTTGCATAGAGTGACTTGTAAAATTTAGCACATGTGCCTACATCTTTATCTTCCGCTGTCTTAATATTTTCTGTTGTCTTAATATTTCCTGCCTGTCCACATCAACAAGACAATGTCTAAAAATTCGAATACACCTCTTCCATTAACCCCTAATACTGTTGACCTCACTTACATCAACTTGGAAGAAGTAAAAAAGCAACATACTGCTGAGACTGAAGCTGGTGATTTCAACATGGGTGTATATGCAACTTTGGATGTGAAGAATCCAAAGGAAATCAACTATAACCCTACCTATGCTAATCTACCTGAAAAGCAAGAGGTAAAATCATTTCTCGTGAAATATAAATGGAAGATCGTCATATCGGGTGCAGTTATCGTTATCATGATGGCTCAATGTGTTATTAATGGACTGGCCAGTGGAGGCGTTTTTCAAGGTAATACTTCAGATTTTGAATAGGTGTTGCATTTAATTTTAATAACATTATTTCTATAGTTCAAGAGCTTCGAGTACACGTTATTAAGGTTTTCATTTGTTATAGGTAAAACTGAAGAAGACATTGTTACCACTAGGAAGGAAGGTTCTACCCTCACTACAATTAATCAAAAGCTATCTAACTTGACAGAAAATATCATTTTATGGAAAGCTGACATCTTGGATAACCTCAAAATATTAGGTGAGAGTTTAATCATTCTGCTGTCGGCTGAAAATCGATTCTTACCTGGGGACTATATTTTGGCTCTTGATTGCACCTTCGCACTTGTAGCATGTTTTAATAGTGCTCGTGTACTTCCAGCTATTAACGAGTGCTCTAGTGATCCATGCAAAAATGGTGGAAATTGTGTGAATAGATTAAATGGTTACCAATGCACTTGTCTTCCTGGATATAAGGGTGCGGAATGTGATGTTGGTAAGTTCAGTTAAGTGAATGGCTAGAACACGAAGTCTCACCAACAACTTACCGTGTCAAAGGCTCATAACAATGATTGTGTCAGATTTATTATCAATCTGATATAGTACCAATCCATTAGCATTTACATACGAGAATATCGATAATTATAAACCTCTATAATTGTTGATAATGTGGAATCCCTAGCAAACTTGAAAAACGATCGTTGGTCTTTCCTACATTTGCTTATCTTCATGATCGTTGTCATGGTCTGAGTATATATGTGTTGACTTGGCGACACGGATGTCCTCTAAAACACCCGGATGATCATAGCCGTGGTACACATTATCACGGAATATAACATTTCAGTAAAAATTATGACCTTACACCCCAGTCACATTTCCTACGGCGACCTTGCGGTCTATCATTTCTGCGGCCAGTAACATTTCTACGCTCGCCGTGGAATTTCTGCGCTCTCATACTTTTGCAGTCACATTTCCCACGGCAGCCGCACGGTGAATTTTAAATTTCTGTTGATAAATAATACTTTTTTCATTTTATTTACATCGGGACAATTTATAAATGTTATTCATAGTGCTAGGATGTAATATCAAATGAAAAGTGATCGTGAAACATTGACAAATAATGATTAAATCTTGTTGAGCCAATTGATTTCTACGGGGACCTCAGAAATGAACAAATATTATAACTCCGAGTTATAATTTCTACGCCTTCCCTGCGGCCTGTAAAAATCTGCATACGCCGTACGGAGGCCGCAAGGCGAGCGTAGTATTTCTACGCTCGCCGCAGAAATTCACCGATTTATTTGTTCTGCGGTCGACTTGCGGCCGCCGTGCGACCAATGTGACTGGGGTGTAACACCCCAGTCACATTTCCTACGGCGACCTTGCGGTCTATCATTTCTGCGGCCAGTAGCTTTTCTACGCTCGCCGCAGAATTTCTGCGCTCTCATACTTTTGAAGTCACATTTTCCACGGCAGCCGCACGGTGAATTTTAAATTTCTGTTGATAAATAATACTTTTTTCATTTTATTTACATCGGGACAATTTATAAATGTTTTTTTTTTTTTTTTTAATGGATTTTTATTTCAGTTCAAGCAGTACATTCAATACATATTTAGGTTTAGTCATTTTACAATAGTGTCGATGGGTGAGAGGGTAACATTGAAACTCTTGGCAAGCATTGCCTAACACAGACGTGTTTCACGTTTCCCTAAAACATTTAGCATTTACAATAGTATGAAAATTATACAACATGGAAAATATGAAGCAGTATAAACTTGTAGTACATGTAATTACAATATATTTTTAATATCCTTCCATTTTTCTCCTCTTCCTACTTTTACATCTATTAAATAATATTCTTCTATGTTTCTCTTCAGTCCCAGAAAGGTCGGACGCACCTTTAGACATTTACATAAGTATATATATCTCCTGTATATAGATAAAATTGTATTTATCAATATTGTTTCACTATTTATAATTACTGGTCCTAAAGTGATTGTACTTTTGTCACATAAATCAGAAAGCTTTTTAGGAAGCCAGTTTTTAATATCTTGAATTACCATTTCGACAACCTCACACGTTAAAAACAGGTGCACCAGGGTCTCTATGTGTCTACTGCAAAAGCAGCATTTATCAGATTCCTTAATACCACACATCTTTAAGTATTTATTTGTCGGTAGAAATCTGTGGATTACTTTATAGTTGAAAGATGCTAATTTAGGTTCATAGTTACTTATTTTATTAATTTTATTAATGTTTTTCCATTCATGGTCTTCAATATTAATATCTAAATCACCGTTCCATTTATACACATAGTTGTCGTTGTAATCAAGGTTTTTAATTAGTTCCCAGTAAATTATTTTACAATTTTTTTTATTTTCCATGAATTTTAACACATGTTTTTTATATTCAGAATAATATTCAGGCGGTTTATTATTTTCAGATATTATTTTTTTCCATTTTTCAGGAATTGTGTTTTTCAGACTTAGAAAATCTAAGAAGTTTATTTTTGTGTTAAAACGGTCCATAAATTCATTTAATCTCAAAATTCTTTTTGATTCGTGATACATGTCTTTTAGAATGATTAAGCCTTCCTGCTTTGTATTTTTTATGATTTTATTCACATTCTCATTTTTGCTATATCTTAACCATGTGTTGCAGATTATATTTTCAGCATATGATTCTATATTGCATTCAATTTCGGCTTCTTTAATAGCTGTGTATGCGCGAAATATATTGATTATCCCTTTCCAAAAAGTATTTTCAATTTTAGCCTCTAATTTTTGAAGTGATTTTACATCATATGCAAATAGTTCTCTCGCATCTTTTATACCAATTATACCATGCGCTGCAAATTGCCATGTACCATGTCTGGTCAATTTCTGAAGCCAGGTTAATTTCTGAGATTGCTCGAAGGTTTGGGGATCGATCATTCTTAGACCACCATCTTTGTAGTCTTGACATATTTGATGAAAATTCACCTTTGACACATTAGAATTCCACAGGTATGTAGTAAATAAATGTTTTAGTCGTTTATGATATTCAATTGATATTTTTGGCAGAATTTTCATTATATGTACTATTTTTGGCAGAGCAAACGACTTTATTACCGTTATTTTTCCTATCAGGGACAAATTTCGTCTCTTATATCGATTTATCACTGTTTGCATTTCTATAAATTTAGTCTCAAGATTGTCTCGTTCAATATTCTTAAGGTCATTATTAAATTGAATGCCAAGTAATTTAAAGGTGGTTTCCCAATTCAGAGGAATATTTTTCAATAATCTTTCATCCGAATTACATTTGGTTCCTAACCATATTACGGAAGTCTTTTCAACATTAAGCTTTAGACCAGATGCCTCATAAAATAAATTAAAAATTTGCAAGCAGCTTTTCAAAGATTTTTCTGAACCATCGAGAACCACGAAAGTATCATCAGCGTACATACCGACTTTAATATTTTTGTCAAACATTTTCAAACCTTGAATATCTCTGGCGTATTTCAATTTGTTACAGAGTGGTTCTAAAGCAAGAATGAACATGTAGCAAGACAAACTATCTCCCTGACGACATCCACGTTTTATTTTAAAAAATTTTGAAAAGTGTCCGTTATTTATAAATGTTATTCATAGTGCTAGGATGTAATATCAAATGAAAAGTGATCGTGAAACATTGACAAATAATGATTAAATCTTGTTGAGCCAATTGATTTCTACGGGGACCTCAGAAATGAACAAATATTATAACTCCGAGTTATAATTTCTACGCCTTCCCTGCGGCCTGTAAAAATCTGCATACGCCGTACGGAGGCCGCAAGGCGAGCGTAGTATTTCTACGCTCGCCGCAGAAATTCACCGATTTATTTGTTCTGCGGTCGACTTGCGGCCGCCGTGCGACCAATGTGACTGGGGTGTAAGTTACTAGGGATGGGACGGTTCGTTTCGGTTCAGTTCGGTTCGGTTTTTCGGATCATCAGGCGTCGGTTCGGTTTTTTCGGTTCGGTTCATTCATTTTAAGGATTTGTATTGATTGACATGATTAGCTGCTTTGTCTGAAGTTATAACAATATTTTATAGATGGAATTTTATGTTATAGTATTTCATGAACAATACATAATATTTAGAATACACGACTAAAGAATATAGTACCAGGGACCACATGATTGATTACCGAGGGATACGAATACGCGGATACGAAACGAATCTAGTAAACGAGTGAGCTAGCAACAGACAAGACAGACAAGGTAGGGACTAGGAATATCAAAAATGTTTCTGTAAAACAGTGTTTTTAACTGTTTTATTGATACTTGACCAATGAAATATTAATCCGAAAACGATCCGAAAACTGATCCGAAAGTAGGGCTGTGATCCGAAAACCGATCCGAAGGCTATGAACCGCGGTTTTTCGGTATTTCGGTTATCCGTCCCACCCCTAGGTGTAACACCCCAGTCACATTTCCTACGGCGACCTTGCGGTCTATCATTTCTGCGGCCAGTAGCTTTTCTACGCTCGCCGCAGAATTTCTGCGCTCTCATACTTTTGAAGTCACATTTTCCACGGCAGCCGCACGGTGAATTTTAAATTTATATTGATAAATAATAGTTTTTTTCATTTTATTTACATCAGGACAATTTATAAATGTTATTCAAAGTGCTAGGATGTAATATCAAATGAAAAGTGATCGTGAAACATTGACAAATAATGATTCAATCTTGTTGAGCCAGTTGATTTCTATGGGGACCTCAGAAATGAACAAATATTATAACTCCGAGTTATAATTTCTACGCCTTCCCTGCGGCCTGTAAAAATCTGCATACGTCGTACGGAGGCCGCAAGGCGAGCGTAGTTTTTCTACGCTCCCGCAGAAATTCACCGATTTAATTGTTCTGCGGTCGACTTGCGGCCGCCGTGCGACAAATGTGACTGGGGTGTTACACCCCAGTCACATTTCCTACGGCGGCCTTGCGGTCTATCATTTCTGCGGCCAGTAACATTTCTACGCTCGCCGTGGAATTTCTACGCTCTCATACTTTTGCAGTCACATTTCCCACGGCAGCCGCACGGTGGATTTCAAATTTCTGTTGATAAATAATACTTTTTTCATTTTATTTACATCGGGACAACTTATAAATGTTATTCATAGTGCTAGGATGTAATATCAAATGAAAAGTGATCGTGAAACATTGACAAATAATGATTCAATCTTGTTGAGCCAGTTTGATTTCTACGGCGACCTCAGAAATGAACCAAAATTATAACTCCGAGTTATAATTTCTACGCCTTCCCTTCGGCCTGTAAAAATCTGCATACGCCGTACGGAGGCCGCAAGGCGAGCGTTATTTTTCTACGCTCGCCGCAGAAATTCACCGATTTAATTGATCTGCGGTCGACTTGCGGCCGCCGTGCGACAAATGTGACTGGGGTGTTAGTGAAGAAACCTTCTTTGTTTACTTTCGCCTATAAATATGGAAAGTTGTCATAACTTTTTGAAACCTCGATCATTTGATCCGATTTCACTTGCCGGTATTTTATTTGTAAACCAACTGACCAGGTAAATGCCGTTCGTAATGAATCTTCAAATAAACTATATATCAAGTTGAAAGATTCAATCCAAGACCACGAGTTACCACGGAATGACCATATTGTGATCATTTTTTCTATTCCGGTGTAACACCTGGTCTTGGATTGAATGTCTACAACTGAAGAAATAGTTAAATTGAATGTATAACGAATGGCTTTGACCTGCTCAGTTCGTGTACAACTAAAATACCCGTAGCTGATAAGTGAAATCGATTCAGATTATTGAGGTTTTAAAAAGTTGTAACAACTTTTTTATTTTTCTACGATTTGACGAATGTTAACAATGGAGGTTTGTTCGCTAAGATTTTATAACCACTATGTTCAAAGCTTTACAAGAGTACAATAACGTCATTTCAAAGGGCAATATATACACGAAGAAATGATTATTACCACCTTGCCGGGCCAGTTCTAGGGGTTTAAGTGCTAGTTTAGAAGGCGTTCATTTTACTATATCGACCTGAGCAATATGGGACGTCATAGTGGTGGTCAAGAATGCATTTAACGACCGGTCGAGAATGCATTTAACGACCGGCAATTTTCCCCGGGAAATTAGATATCGTTCAGTGCGTGGAAGATTTTCTTGCTCTTTCAGTCCTGGTCGTTAACGGTGGTAATAATACTAATAACGTCATTCCTGCGAGCAATATAGTGAAATATTGGACCTTGGGCCTTCGGCCCTCGGTCCAATATTTCACTATATTTCTCTTCGAAATGACGTTATTGTACTATTATTACCACCTTGCCGGGCCAGTTCTAGGGGGTTTTAGTGCTAGTTTAGAAGGCATTCATTTTACTATATTGACCTGAGCAGCATGTGACGTCATAGTGGTGGTCAATATAGCCGGTCAAGAATGCATTAATGAACGGCAATTTTCCCCGGGAAATTTGATCGTTCAGTGCGTAAGATTTTCTTGCTGTTTCAGTCCTGGTCATTAACAGTGGTAATGATACCAATAACGTAATTTCTGCGGGCAGCATAGTGAAATATTGGACCGATTGTCGAAGGCCGATTGAAGGCCCTCGGTCCAATATTTCACTATATTGCCCTTCGAAATGACGTTATTGTACTATTGACGTTATTAGCGTTATTAGTATTATTACCACCGTTTGTGTCCAGTGCTGAAACAGTAAGAACGGACTGCCACTGAACGAAAATTATAAGCAATGATAATTGTTTCATGTAGAATAACGTAATTTCTGCGGGCAGCATAGTGAAATATAAAATCAATTTCATTGAGACTGGACGCCGTTTTCTGGAGGGTAAGGTCACCATCTAGCATTTCAGGGTTAACGCCGCCCATAACGTCGTTCATGTATTTACAGATATAGACGAGTGTTTTAGTAACCCATGCCAAAATGGTGGTATTTGTACTGATGGATTCAATGGTTACCAATGCACCTGTGTTCCTGGATATGCGGGTGCAGAGTGTGGTGTTGGTAAGTTCAGTAAAATGAATGACTAAAACATGAGCATTCTAACCAACTACTCTTAATTGCTGCATCTGGTAGTTAGCATGCTAGTGTTAACATCGCCCATGTGTTTACAGATAGATGAGTGCTCTAGTAATCAATGTCAAAATGTTGGAAGGTTGTATTGACAGTCTCGATGGTTACCAATGCACTTGTGTATGAGTGTTTATCCTATGCCAAGTAGAGTTTTAGGGAGATAAATTGGTAAGATATATCCCGTATCCTGATTTTGAGGTTTCCATATCCAGAACCTCCATATCTCCCGCTTCGGTGCATATCTTCCCGCTTCCGGTAATTTTACTGAAAACTCTACTTGGTATAGGATAAAGCAGTTATGTACGGTCGGTTTGGACATTGGGTTCATCCCTCTGGATAAACCCCATATCCAAAACCTCCTAGTTCATAACCCTTATATATCTCTATCAACATCGGTTGTTATTTATTGCATAACAGATACAGACGAGTGTTCTAGTAATCCATGCCAAAATGGTGGAAGCTGTGTTGATGGGGTTAATGGTTACAATTGTACGTGTGTTCCTGAATATTGGGGTGCGGAATGTGATGGTAGGTTCTGTAAAATATAATATGGAATAATTTTTAATGACATTTTAGCTAGATCACTTCCCTATATTTGCTTCCGAACCAGACATTGTGTTTACAGTTAACCCCTTTAAGGAATAAGTGATTCCTCTTAGATAAAGTGGAAAACAATATTTCCCATGTTATTTTCCCAAATAATAATAATAGGGAAAACTCATGCAATCCATTGCTTTCAGCTAATTTTGGTTATCCATAATGGATATCTTTAAAACCCCCAAAGGAATCACTTATTCCTTTTTAAAAACAAAATCCCCCCAAAATAGATAAAAATCAAGATAAATTTTTTATTTAATTACAAGATACTTTTTTAGAATCAACCAAAATATCCTTTGTACAATTACAATATTGAGAGACCAAAACATGTTGTGTTTATGTCTTTTAGATGAAAGTATGTATACATTTTTCAAATTATATTGTTACCATTCAAAAGATGACCATTAAATTGACGATGTGTTAAATTTTTAGATTTTTTATGACTGGTTTAAGAGAAACGTGTGTTCAAAAAGTTCTCCATGTCTATACCACTCCTTTGTTTTCAAAATTAGCTAACTGCAAAGAACAACTCATCTCTGGAGATATTTACAGTGTCGGTGATGCAAGTATCACTGCCTCGGGGTATTACAGTACTGCACATGTCCCGAGTAGAGGTAGATTAGACTCGCAGAAGGAGTAAGTATTTCTAGAATAGAATCAGCAAAAAGAAAAATGAAAAGCAGTTACGTCTATTGCCTTGGTCACATTTGCTCCGATTTTCACTACGGCGCCCGGCCGATTAAGTATTTTGTTCAAAATTGAATACAATATTGAACAAAACGCTCAATCGGCCGGGCGCTGGCCGATGGATCTGAGCAAATCTGACCCAGGCATAACGAGCAGACAAGCCATCCCAACAAATTGAAAGTTAGTGGAAAATATTGAGATTTACCAACAACATTAGATATTGAAATGGGATTTGGGCCAAAAAATGTATTTTGAAAACAATTGATAATTAAATCAATGTACAATTGAGACAATCAAGAAATCATTTGTTCCGTTCTAGGTCAGGCCTCGCATCATGTTGGGCTCCGGCTGGCGGGAGTACAGATCGATGGATTCAAGCGGACCTCGGTGAACTCATGTTAGTGACGGGTGTCCTGACTCGGGGAAGAACAGACGGGGCGTATATTCAATGGGTAACATCGTACAAGTTTTTGTATGGAGAAACTGAAAGCAGTTTGGAAGAGTACAGAGAGGTAGTTCTATTGATAATATATACAAGACAAGTCGTACACTCTCTTTAAGTCTTTTCAAATTAAAATGTTAAATCGTGGCCGCCCTGTACTTAATAGCAGCAGAGAGTCTGCTCATGGAGTTTTTGAGGTATTACCGTTGGATAGCTAAAATGAACACCTTGTTTTTATAATGAAAAGTCATGATATTGAAAAGTATAAGAACTTTATAATTAATAAACTTTTTATGCAAAACAGTTCAGAAATAGTATGTTCACTAAGTAATGACACTACGTTTCCCATTTCAACAGTTTAACCAATCTTTCTAGAATTTGCTCGTATAACGTATCTGGCTTGTAATAATGAGTGCACATACCAAATTTCTTGTCTCAAGAATAAAAATAGTAAATTTTATCATATACATTTTGATTCTGTAACATGGTACTTGACACAGCACACATAACCTCACATTTAACATTAATTTAGAATCTTTAATCCTGAGCGTATCACCTCTGAGCTCGTTCTGCAAACGATACAAATACAATATTTATATCCAGCAGTCTAGGCCCATGTCCAGTTGATATAATATTCACTATAGTAATATGTATCTGTTTCAATGCATTTTTATTGTTGTTTAGCCATAGCCATAGTGAGCAAGGTTTGCATTTTTAAATCCTAGACTACTCTGTATTCTGTTAGTTCTCTATGGACTACTTTGCAGTTTGACATGCACATATCAGCCAGTTTCCTATTTCCACAAAACCTGTTTTCTGATGACGTCTTTAACTTTGGCAGACTTTCCAACTCATGGAGATCACAAACTTCCCGAAGATCTTCTTTGTTTCGCGGTATATGGCAAACATTCATGGTTGCGCGGTATTTGTGATACAGGTGAATATGCCATACTCACCTGCGGTATATGGCATATTCTGCAGGTGAGTATGCGATATTCCGCAGTGAATATGCGATACATTGATTTCAGTGAATACCCGATAATCACCTGCGGAATATGTCATACTCACTTGCGGAATATGCCATAAACCGCAGGTGAATATGACATATACCGCAGGTGAAAACGTGATACAGAAAGCCTTGATTTGATTGGTTGCAGGAATCTACTCTAAATGTAAAACTACGCTGGATTGCCAATATAGTTAATGCGTCGAGTACTAATATATGAATCCTGCATTGATTGAGTAAGTTTATTACGCGAGATTGGTGACTGATACTGCTAAGTTAATATATTCGATACACAGTACTGTTGATTCCGTAATCATTATAATAATTTATAACGTTCTACTTGTTCGTTCAATCTATGCAATTGACAATTGCATACTTCCGTATCACGTTCTCATCGGTTAGTGTGTATACCATATACCGCAGGTGAATCTGTCATACACCGCAAGTGAATATGCCATATTCGTTGCGGAATATGACATATTTTTGTATCGTGTTTACCGCGTAACATTCTTAACTAGATTTATTATGATGTCATACTATGAATGAAGTAATCACTATACAGGACATATTTTAAATAACCAACTTGTATAAACGGAGAATCATATCATATATACATCGTTTCATTATAATTGAGTAAAATTGATGTCTGTGTCGACGCACCTGTCAACAAGTTGCTATTGCAACCATTATTTCATTGTTTGATGAGCTTTAAAACTTTTTGAACTCACAATTACACTTTTAAGACATGTTGAAAATCTAATCAAGATTCCTTAAAAGAGGTGCGATAATTGCCAATTACCCCCATGGTCAAAATGAATCATTCTTAGGTGTAACATAAGAATAAAACGTCATTCTTTGGAAATTATTAAAGTGCTTGGGCACACATAGGCTAAGGTAGGGGTAATTTAGTTCAGCAAGGTTGTATTGACTTATGTGGGACTGTGCACCATTGACTTAACATGTGGATATCATCATATCCCAATAGAGGCCATTGATTTCCATTAAATATCACAAAAATACAAAAAATAAACTATGACCTGAATCGATTGCAAACTAATAATTTCACAATATGACACAAATGGTTTATCTCATCAAATGTGCAAATATGAAGTTTGCAATCGATTCGGGTCGTACATTAATTAAAAGATTGTACATTTTTTCATCATTTTTTCCCTACAAAATAGCTCTAGAAAAATGCTCCAAAAAAACAACTCTTACACTTATTATATCAATATCATACAACTTTGTAAAACCACAGATTATACTCTACATATATACTTTTACACTTCATGATCGAATTATGACCCTGATAAGTGGCCTCTACATGAATACAGTGCTGAATATAGGTAAACAAGGTACAGATACATAAGGGTTATGCACTGGGAGGTTTTGAAAACAGGGAATATCCCGAGGGATATACAATATGCAAGATGTATTGTATATCCCAAGCGATATTCCATGTATCCAAACCGACCGTGCATAACTGGTGTATCTCATACTTTTTTAAATTTTTTTAAACTTTTGAAAAATTCCCGGGAGCGGGATGGATATATTATATCTGCCCGCATTTGGCCTGGAGCGGGACATATACAATATATCCTGCCCGCTCCTCAGATATGATATATATTCCCGAGTGATATCTACCCCAAACCCACTTAAGTATGAGATACTAGTGTGTATATAAATGTCATAATAAAAGCAGTATATTCATTTTGAAAAATCAGATGAGTTAATCTTTTTTCATGGGGAAATCATAATGGTGAGTGCACTACTTCTTTTAACAAATTGGGAGATCTATTGTCATTACTTAATGAACGAATAAAATGGTATTGTGCTTTCCAAGATATTTTCTGTACAATTTGCTTTTGGAAAACTCCCAAACTAAATAATATATCAACCAATCTCCTCTATTTTACGTAACTGTAACGACCCTTGGGCACGTCCGTCGGGGAGCTGTAGTGTACCGAGCCAGATACTAGACTAGAGTGTGCTAAATGCAATGCCCCCTACAGGAATCGAACCCAGGACCTTCCCCTCTCGAGTCAGACGCTGTACCCCTGAGCCATAAAGGCTAGCCACTACAGCTGAGACAGTAGTAGCGAGTTGCTATCGAAGGTCATTACACCACTTACTTAACCATGCAATGACGATGTTTTTATTTCAAGATTCTACCAGGGAATGAGAATAGATACACTCATGCAACAAACCTGATTGAACCACCAGTGCTAGCAAGATTTGTTCGGATCAATCCTCAGACTTGGCATGGAGCTTGTTGTATGACATTTGATGTTCTTGGATGTCCAGACCAAGCAGGTAAGAGTACTGTGGGAAAGTAGTACATGTAGTATGTGGAGCGGGGAACTATGGCATCAGAGGGTCCAATGTTTGTCCAAATCTATTTGAAGTATTGTTGTAAAACGAGATGAACGCATCGGTGGAACATAACCTACTTTTGCTTTTAGATGCATGTTACACTGGATAACTTACCTTGTATTCGCGAATGCAACTAACGCATGCCGGCTACCGGATTGACCTACTATGTTATGGCTAACTCATTTAAATATGAATGGAAGAGTGGCAGGTACAGGCGCTAGTTGCATTCGCGAATACAAGCTTAGATTCCACACGTTCAATTAGGGAGTTTAAGCATGCAATATTTTTCTCAACCTAAACGTAATCGGAAAATATTCAAGCGATGAATTTGTATATGGAATAGGTTGGCGTTTCGATTTTATATGCAAGCTTAAACTTCCTATTATCTGTAACAAACTCATATGCTACCATTTCAAATACAATATAATTTAGAGGCATTGTTGCCTGCAGTGTTACATCATGAATTCGGCCAATATACCCGCGTATACCCGCGTTTCTTTGATTCCCCAAGATGGATCTAGATTTATTGCAATGGTCTATTGAAAGAGATCAAATGTCAGGGCCGCAGCCAGGATTTGTCAAGGGGGTTCATTTTTTAAAAATCCAAGGGTCCACTTTTGACATCTTTAGGCCAATGCTGAAAAACTGCATGATTTTGAATAGCACAGTGCTAAATTCTAAAAAGTTGAAATTTAATAAATTATCCTTATCAAATAAAGTTGTTAGTTTTTAATTTATAATGTTGATTCCAGGTACTATGTGAACGACAGGTCCAGATGGAATATGCCATTAGTTTGAAATTCAAAATGCGGTAATTATGGAAATGTTTGGAATGGCTTTTAGAAGAATCAATGGAATGACTGTTTCCAGCAAAACATAGTTTCAGGAATCAGGACTAGAAATGCACGTAAAAAGGAACTGATCAACTAAATTATCATAAGCTAGACTCCACTAGCCATAGTTTGATATCAATGGAAGTGACATACTGAGGTTACTTACGTAATAAAATAAGAAGAAACGTTTACCTTTTGAGAAAAACAATAGTCTAGTTAAAAGCCCATGGTAAAATCTACAGACACGTTCGCAAAATGGTATAATGGTTTTAAAGACAATTGTCTTCTATTTTCACTGTTATCATATCAAGGGTATCTGCTAATTTCGGTGATATATTCTAATCTAGTCTCTCTAACTTATACTATTGTATAATCTATTCATACAATAAAAATGTGAAGATCCTCTTTCTAGAGACAACATTTTGAAAAGTGTCGAGGATTGAAAATCTGAATCTTATAACGAAATACGCTAGGCCTATACAAGAATTTTGGAATACACTATTTCGTCAAATTATTGTTTAGATTTATTAAACATCGACTGTGTGTACAAACAAAAATGTAGATAGCAATACATTTGGACTTGATTTGATTTAAAGGAGTATGTTTTATATCAGTTAAGTATCATGCTGCAACCATTGTATTGTAAGACTTTTTAGAAAAAACACTTACATGTATTAGAAGAATTGCCGTGTTATGTCTATGTCAATAATTTGCAAAAGGCTAATAAGCCCATATGAAGCAGATATATAATTCAACAGTGATAGAATTTGAATAAAATATAATTTAAAACCTTAAAAGAATATTCCTTGCCAGACCCTTTCTCTCTTGATATGGTAGCTATAATCATATATATAGTTTCCATATTTAGCAAAACATGGGAAAATGTTTTAATATGGTCAATATTGATCATTTAAAAATCTAGTGCTTATTTCCAGTGAGCTGCCATCTTTTAAGATTTCTTGCAGGAAGTGATGTCATCAACTCTCAACTTCTATAACCTTGCCCATAACAGTATAGGAAAGTAGCACAAAATCACTTCTAGACAAGTGATCGTTACTTTCTGTGCAAAAATATTTTCAGGGCTTGTCAACTTTGAATAAAAGAAGAGATTTTCAGAAGGATTAAATAAGATACAAAGTTGAAAAAGAATATTCAGCACTATATGCAAGGTTGAGAGTCGATGACATCACTTCCTGTGTGAAATTTTAAAAGATGGCAGCTTGGAATTGAGCATCACATTCCTAAGTGATCAAATTTGACCATATCAAAACATTTTTTGCGTGTTTTGCTAAACATGGCAAGCAAAAATATGGTTATAGCTACCATATGAAGAGAGGGAGGGTTTGGCAAGGAATATTCCTTTAACATTTAAAAATAGATCTATGGTTAACAACTCATTTTAAAATTGAAAGGAACCTTCCTGGTTGGCCCCTGTACCCCCTAGTATGTATCCAACAGACTGACTAGAAGTCAGTCTGTTATGATGTACTACTTTCCTGTGGAAATTGCAGTGAAATTTTTTGCACAAAATTATCAATTGGAGGAACAATTTCTTCAATATAATAAACATTACAAAATTTCAATTAAATAGCAAGGTACAATTAAATGCTATAAAAAGCATATTGTCGAGTGGAAATAAAGCTAGTTGAAGTAACAAATGTGAAAATTAATTTTACCCAATCGGCCATTTTGAATAGCACTTCCTATGTAAACAAATATTTAGAATTACCAAACTTTAACATAGGTGCCTTATAGTCTGAATATAATTCAGACTAAATAGGATATAGTCTACTGTACCCCCTATGTTGAAATACCCTGGGGTGACTGTCAGGCTACCGCGTTGACACGATCTCCCGCTCTCCGCCTCTTTACCAGTAGTGCAGGCTTGTTGCTGTGCACTGGGGCATTTAAACATAGATCTATCTACATGAAACAGTAATGACTGTAAACGACAATGGAGAAAACACAGACAATCGGGATCTGTTTGATGGTTTAAACAGGGAAGGAGCATCCACTTAATCAATCAAAAATTCGAGAAAATAAATGCGGGAATATTTGTGAGATCAGGGAAATCCGCCCACGGCAAAGAAAATAAAACATGAATATTCTAAAATATTTCCACGACTGAACAATGTGAACCGGTATGGGATAAACATATTATCCTATAGTCGGTTCAGGATATTGGGATTATCCCTTGGCCAATATAATATATTTTCCCTCGGGACCTGCGGCCCTCGGGCAAATATATTATATTAGCCTCGGGATAATCCCAATATCCTGAACCTCATAAAGGATAATCTCTATATATACTCAACCGGCCAAGTATTAACAGTACAAAAGGGAGAAAAAATCCATCAGGTCCATAATTCTACACCTTCAGGTACAAGTTAAAAAAACGTGTATCTTAGAACTACGGTACGCCTTTATACCAGCGACACACTTTCACGGGTGCGTCTTTACAATGAAACACAATAACGAAAATTGCAACTTTAGGATCTTGAAAAATATCCTTCCTGGTTAGAATAGGTTTCCACGTACAACTAAAAACACTACAGTGTATATATATAAAATAACTATCTATACACCATCAATGCAAATATATGCTTTCGTCCATTCTGATAGCATCTTTCTGTTTCACCTGAAACACAGGGCTTAGAAGAAATGAGATGTCATGGTTTATCATGATGGCTTTCTTCGAGAATACATAATGCGGGCCCGGGAATGCGGGGTGCCACATAAATTGCAACACACCTTGCAACAATGTCTTATGAGGGTAATTTCTTATATTGAGAAGTTTATCATCTATTGAAATCAAATACTTGTAGCTACAAAAAGCGAATTTGTTTGAGCAGTCCTAGCTCAATATATTATAAAGAAAACAATATTTACAACATGGTATCCTTAGTAGACTATTCAATTTGGAATTTTGAAGCTTAGCCAACATCAGCATTATAACAAAGATCATCAAAAAAGGATTTTATCAAAGTCTTCCATGCAAATGAAGGTGCGAATTCACATTAACAAATTAAGATAAGATCCACAATATGTTATCAAATGGTTAAATGCGCAAAATGTGTAGATATGTTTTCCTTAATAATGTGTGAGGAGGCCTTTCAGGCAATTTTCGAAAGCGTAGTGAGAACAAGTTTGGTGTAGATGGGAGGGGGATATCTCCCACCTCGGTCTCTCTCTAATGCCTAGGCCATATATGCACCGGGCGCTGGCCGATGAGTAGTCATCGGCCGATTTCTAAATCAGTTTCGACCAAAATCATGTAATTCAGCAATTTTAGTAACAAAACATGAAGGTACATGCTGTAAAATTTTGAAGACAATTGGTGTATATTTAACAAAATACCAGCACCAGTCCTGTTACTTTTGGAACACCCTGGACCCTCTCGAGGTGTTAAAAAAACTAAAATGAATCTGATATACACATAATCACAAGTGAATCATCTATGTATACATCACTCATTTTAATAATGACAAATGACAATTCTAGATTTTGATTTATATCAAAAGTGTTCAATTCAACAGGTGCATTTGGATTTGTGAAATGCAACCTGTGTAAGGGTAAGTTATTTTATAAAAGGCATTAACATGACAAAATGTCACCACCTAGTTGCTCACAATATTATGAGTTCAAACTTAAGTCAGATTTGAATTTCTGAGAACTTGTAAAGTCAAATTTGAACTTCTGAAAAGATGTAGATGATTTTGAAAAAAAAATTTGGTCAATTTGAAGCAAGTTGAAAACAGACCTTTTTTACTTTTTTTTTACCTTGAGAAGGTCATTAAAGGTCAAATGTCAAATCTAAAGTCAGATTTGAATTTCTGAGAACATGTAGATGATTTTGAAAAAAAAATTAGTCAATTTGAAACAAGTTGAAAAAAGACCTTTTTGACCTTTTTTTGACCTTGAGAAGGTCATTGAAGGTCAAATGTCAAATCTAAAGTCAAATCTAAAGTCAGATTTGAATTTCTGAGAACATGTAGATGATTTTGAAAAAAAATTTAGTCAATTTGAAGCAAGTTGAAAAAAGACCTTTTTGACCTTTTTTGACTTTGAGAAGGTCATTGAAGGTCAAATGCCAAATCTTAAGTCAAATCTAAAGTCAGATTTGAATTTCTGAGAACACGTAGATGATTTTGAAAATTTTTTAGTCAATTTGAAGCAAGTTGAAAACAGACCTTTTTGACCTTTTTTGACCTTGAGAAGGTCATTAAAGGTCAAATGTCAAATCTAAAGTCAGATTTGAATTTCTGACAACATGTAGATTATTTTGAAAAAAAAAATATGTCAATTTGAAGCAAGTTGAAAAAAGACCTTTTTGACCTTTTTTGACCTTGAGAAGGTCATTGAAGGTCAAATGTCAAATCTAAAGTCATATTTGAATTTCTGAGAACATGTAGATGATTTTGAAAAAAAATTTAGTCAATTTGAAGCAAGATGAAAAAATACCTTTTTGACCTTTTTTGACATTGAGAAGGTCATTGAAGGTCAAATGTCAAATCTTAAGTCAGATTTGAATTTCTGAGAACATGTAGATGATTTTGAAAAAAAAATTTAGTCAATTTGAAGCAAGTTGAAAAAAGACCTTTTTGACCTTTTTTGACTTTGAGAAGGTCATTGAAGGTCAAATGTCAAATCTTAAGTCAAATCTTAAGTCAGATTTGAATTTCTGAGAACACGTAGATGATTTTGAAAACTTTTTTTAGTCAATTTGAAGCAAGTTTAAAACAGACCTTTTTGACCTTTTTTGACCTTGAGAAGGTCATTGAAGGTCAAATGTCAAATCTTAAGTCAAATCTTAAGTCAGATTTGAATTTCTGAGAACACGTAGATGATTTTGAAAATTTTTTTTAGTCAATTTGAAGCAAGTTGAAAACAGACCTTTTTGACCTTTTTTGACCTTGAGAAGGTCATTGAAGGTCAAATGTCAAATCTAAAGTCAGATTTGAAGGTCAAATGTCAAATCTAAAGTCAGATTTGAATTTCTGAGAACATGTAGATGATTTTGAAAAAAAAATTAGTCAATGTGAAGCAAGTTGAAAAAAGACCTTTTTGACCTTGAGAAGGTCATTGAAGGTCAAATGTCAAATCTAAAGTCAGATTTGAACTTCTGAGAACATGTAGATGATTTAGAAAAAAATTGAAGTCAGTCTAAACAGTATTTGTTAAGTTATAGGAAGTTGTAAGAAATTGTTACAGACGCCGGACGTCAACCGCCGGACGCCAACCGCCGTCGCAAAAAACGGAGACCATAACAATATGTCACCACTTTTGGTGGTGACATAAAAAGGTAAATGGCATTCTATATAAGTTGCCCTAGTCATTCCACAGTTCCAGGCGTTATTTTGTGGAGCCCATGTCTTGCCACATCACACGTGGAAATGACTTTGACAAACCTTGGACATCTTTCTTTCAGTCCATGGACTCTAAAATAACAAGAATTTGCATTGTCGGGAATTTGAATGCCGCCTCTTGTATTTTTCATCTGCCTCTTGTACACAAAGTTACTGAAACCACTGTAAGACCTTCAAGGTGGCGACTTGTTTAGACGATCAGCCGTGTTTGATTGTCAGTTGAATGGACCGTCGTAGAAGTCGTCTAAGGACTACGTAATAGCAGTTAAGGGACAAGGGTCTCCGAGATTTAGATTCTCTTTTGGGTTGCTGGAA